ATAGTAGGGTGGAGCGATTTTCATAGCAAACAAAAAAAGGTTTAATTTCAAAATGCCTGAGGTGCAAATCGTTGCATATTATTAATAATAAGAAAGTAAATTTTTTTTTTCTAGTTTTTATAACTTCTTCAGGTTTCTCCAGAGGATTGAATCTTAGAAAAACATAGATTTATTTAATTTTTATATTCTTCCTAGTTAAATATTGTTTTGGTACTATTTAGTTTCTTGGAAAAGTGACTTTTAAACATAAAATTTATTAGAGAATACAAAATGAATGTTACTTTTAACAGAAAAAGACAGAAAATTCCAAAAAAAATTTATTCAAAAATGGTTTTTACTTTCACAACTTATGTTGCTAAGGACTTCAACGCTCACCTATTGCTCATAGCGACAACATATTTATTATGTTGTTTTAATTACAGCAAATATATTAACTGTAAAAAAAGATTTTTGCTGATCAAAAATTTGAATCCAAAACAGAACATTTATTTAAACTTAAATACAGTTGAGGTCCCTATCATGATCATTTATCGATCCACTCATCGTCTAATTTATGCTTGTTAGTCCTTGCAATTTTTTAGGCTTTACTTTTGTAATTGCAATTTTTCATATTTTTACATTTATTTTTGAAAAATTTTGACATAAAATGAAATAAGTTACTGTTTAATTTTGTTGATTATGTAATAATACAAAAATTGTGAGTAGAATCGATTATTCTGCGTTGATGGCAGAAGAATATAACTTTGGTCAAATTTAAATTTATTTGTTTTTAATTTTTTTTTTTAGATTTTTTTACCAATAAAATTTGTTGATGTGAAAAGATTTTAGGTGATTAGCATACAGAGATTTAGATGGAGTTTCACATAAGCCGAAGTATACTTTTTCTTTGTAGTCAGGTTTATTTGACAACACGGTGGCTTGATAAACAAAGTTCTTCATCAAGCACTAATTGTTCATGTGGCAGATGGATTTGTTGACACAGTTGTATGTTTTGCCTTCACCTTTACCTTGGCTTAAGTGCGAGTTAATGATAGACTTGATGTTTGGCTTGAGTAGCATATTTTAATAATATTTTGATTAAATATCTTGTAAAGTTTGTGCAGGTCTATTACCGGAAAGTGCAGGTCTACCATGTTCAAAAAACAATTGCCTATTTTGTTGCAACATTGGTACTGAAAGTTAAATTTTACCAGATTATGCTTTGCTTGTGATATTTTATTCAAATGGTAAGCGAATTTGTAGATAAAACCTGATTTGAAGAATGCATCTTGATAAGGAGGAATGGATTGTTTAAAAATTTTTTTTAGAAGAATTGGTTGATAATCTTAGTTTGATAGTTTGATACTTTTTAGTATGCTAGGAAAGCGGTTAGAGTCAGCATTTATATAACTGATGGAATTTCCAGGCTTGCAGTAAGGTTGGAAAGAACTGTTATTAATATTTAATGTTAAGTCCAGATAATTAACAACATTAAAATTACAGCTGATGGATATAAGAAGATCATTGTTTTGAAAAATTTTCACAAAGTGCTTTTTAATTTTTTCCATTTGTTGGTCACTGCGGTTTTTAAACACTGCTAGACCATCATCTCTATACAATCAAGATTCATCTCTATTGTAAGACTGCAATAATTGAAACAAGATAGATATTCTAACTAATTCACATACTTCTGTGCCTTCAAAGGCTCCCATGGTGACCAACCTCCACTTTTTTTAATCTCGGCTACACCATTTTAAGTAATAATGATTTCCTGGCATGATGCATTAACTTTTTTTCATCTTGTTTTATAAATAAGTATTTTTCAGCAAATTTTCATTAATTGAAGGATAAAAATCAGTTATATCAAAAATCAAGAATTTATATGAATGTTTTTCTTTAATTTTTTAAAACCAATCTATAAGGTTATGTGAGTTTAGCCTGTAGAGTTTTATTGGTTGATGTAAACTTTTTTTCTAAGATCAGTTTTTATTTTTGATAGAATAACTTTAGAAATTCTTCATACTTAGTTTTTTGCAGGATTTAATAGCTGAACTTAGAGTGTTTAAAAAATTATCCTTGCGGTCTTTTAGAGTGATAAAACAATTAGAGGTGACATTTAATTCAATTCTGTTGAAAACATTATGATTATTTAAAATGTGTTTACTTTTAATATTTATTTGATCTTTTAGATTTTGGTCAGCCTTTTTATACATAGATGTTACAGCATTCTTAAGGAGGTGGTTATACTCTTCTTTGGAAATTCTGTTCATATTGGAGGTTTTGTTGGCTTGAGATAAAGTTTTATGTGATTTGAGCAAAGATTTTATATCGCTAGAAAGTTTTTCTCGAAACTTTACAAAATTTAATATTTTTAACTAAATCATTTTCAAACATTTTTCTTTTATATGGGGATGACATTTTGAAGATTTAATGCCATAGTTTTCAGGTTTGGATGAATTAGTTTCGTCAGAAAGTTTATTAAGAAAGAATAAAACTTTCCACCTCATTCTTTTTATGAGTGCTTCAGTCTTCTCCAGTAACTGTAATTAGAATTCTTTTTCCGATGGAATAGAAATATTTTTGACTGAGTAATTAAAAACTAAATAAAAAGTTTATTTTCTCCATTGTGTGGATGATTTGGAGAAGAGTGCTCAACTAATTGAAGCGTATATATTGATATTTAAGGCTATTTTGTATTATAATAATAAAACAAAACTCATTACATAAATGAGTGCTCATTATTAAAAAGATATTTCAAATAGAGCAAAATATATATATATATATATATATATATATATATATATATATATATATATATATATATATATATATATATATATATATATATATATATATATATATAATATATATATATATATATATATATATATATATAAATATATATAATATATATATATATATATATATATATATATATATGTATATGTATATGTATATATACATACATAAATATATTAACGAAGAAAAAACAACTTTTTCTATGGTACTTTGAGTTTCATGCCTATACGACAATCATCAGCAATTGAATACAAAATAAAAAATAAAAAAACCTGCTTAAAATTACAAAATACTGTGTAGTGGAATCTTTACGCCACTGAAAGATATATGTGTATATATATATATATATGTTTATTTGCAAGCATGAAAAATATGATGTTCTACCTTTTTTTGATGTATGCATTGAAGTAGCCAAGAATTGATCACAATAATACTGGTTTGTTGATTATTTTAGTTTGATAAAATTTGAAGTTTTATAAAAACTTCTATTGATTGCATATTAGCATATAGCATAATTACTATGATCATATTCACAATACCAAAACTACTTTACAAAAAAATTTATACCTTGTTAAACTTCTAAACCTTTAGATATTAATTAATTTAAAACCTTTAGATATTAGATTTATTTAAAAATAGACTTTTAAAAAACATATGATTTTTTATATATAGTTGTAATAGAATTATATTACCAAGAACGCTTTTAACAGTTAATGTATTATAAATAGATTTTTTTAATGTTTTTATATAAAAGGTTTTATTTTTTACTGATAATGGATTATGTTGTTTGAAAACAAATGTCTAATAAACATACATTTAAATTATGAGGTAAACAGTTCATTTGCAGCTTTAGCTATGCATGAAATGGCACTGATTATGTCATATTGAAGCAGCTATTTTCATGCCTTCATTATTACATCACATACTTTAAGGGCTTAAGTTTGACCAGCTGGTATTTCCATATGAAGAATGCAATTTTTTCCATAATATGATTGTGCATAACCAATAATACAGAAAAATTATTGGTTAGAGAATAATTATTTTAATACAAATGAAAAAAGATTTTAATTATTACAATATATATACATATTATTTTTCTTTATAAAATTAATTAAAATCACCTTTCATGTTTTTAGTTACTTTTAAAGTTTGTCAATAGCTTATTTAGCAATATGTTTTTTATTTTTATGTAATTTTATAATTCGAAGATTGTTTAATTTTATAATTTGAAATTTTTGTAAGTAAAAGTCGAAAAGAAAATTATTAAATATCTTAGCAAATGGCTTACATGAAAAATATTTTAAGCATTAAAAAAAAAAAAAAACTGGTTCTAATTCTCTTTTTCTTCAAAAATTATCAAAAAAGAATTGCAACAATTGCCTCTAAAAAGAATAATTTTTATTTCTTTTAAAATTGGAGATATTCTTGAAGCTTTTAATCTACTTTAATTATTTGACTTTTGATAAAAAATTTTTGACCTTTGTTTAAAATTTAAGATAACAGATAAATTTGATATATTATTTGATATTTTGCTAATCTGTTATGATCAGTGTCATTAGGTATAATAATTAATAAATTGTTACAAAGGAAATCATTGTAATAAAAAAGACTATTTAAAAAGATAACATTAAAAAGAGCATAAGAAAATACAAAATTTTTTTTTTGAGAACTGACATCAACTAATTTATTAAAAATTGGTGCCCAAGTCTTTGTTATAATGCTTTCACTATAATTCCTATTAAGAACTTTTTCACTACTTCCAAACTCCTGTCAAACTTTAGCCCCTGCTTATTTCAAGCGATTCTCTAATTTTCCGAACATGATTATCTGGAGCAGTAGATATTGTTTTGAGATGCAACCAGTCAAAAGCTGCAAGATTTGGAAAGTTCAGTAACACCCGAACTAGCGCATTTTTATTTTTTACTATTTTTCTGATGCTCAATATGTTCTTTTTAAGTTCAACAGTATAGAGAAGAGTGTGTATGAAAAAGCCAGTTTTAAGATAAAGAAAAAAAGTCAATTTTGATTTATTTTTTTATTTTTTTAAAAATAATTACTTTATTGGGTAATATTAAAAAGTTAAAATAAATTGGATAACAATGCTAATAATCTGTCATACACCTATTTTAAAAAAAGAGAGAAACCAGCTCTTTTATAACATTGTGTCAATGAAAGAGTCGTACTGTGCTATGAAAGAGCCGTAACATTTTTTTGAAAATGAACAAGTCTTTTTAGAATAATAATCTGTTAACTAGATTTCTAAAAATCAGATCGTACTTAAAGTTTCTATGATAATTAATGATAAAACAGATACTTGCGAAGACATGTTTTTCTTTTAAAGATAAAAAATACTAAACGAGAATGAAAAAAACAGAAATGTTAATATACACTAGCCAAATGTAGTTGTCTAGCTTAAAAGTTTTTTCCCTACATATTGGTGAACTTAAAAAATTTTAAGTTCACAATATACATGCATGAACATTTAATTTTGTCTTATTGTTGCAGAATATATTGTTTAAGTTTGGAGCTAATATAACTGTTATGTTTTGTTTTCTATACTTTTTTGTAAGTTTGAGACCAGCAATTACCTTCTCATTAATTTACACTATTAATTTACACATTTTCTCATTAATTTACACATTTACTATTTTTCAAATTTTGTAGTGAGTCTGAGTGTTAGGTCATGATCTATAGTTCTAACCTTTTTGATTTTTTTTCAGTGATGCATCCTTTTGATATATTTGATATAATAATTAGAAATCTTTATCAAAGGGATAAGTCCTAATATCTGGATTATTTAATTTGTTTATGGAGAGTTGTTATTTAGTCAAAAGTGTTTTTATTGTTGTTTAGTCAAAAGTTTTAATTTTAACTAATTTTAAAAAAAATTTGTTAAAATTAACAGATTTGTCTCAGAAATTCTGTCTGTAATGGTTTATTCAGTATTTCAAGTTTTATAGCACATGTTTTAATATTATTAATATTATGTCTGTATAAGGGATTTTCTTCTTTAGTTCCACAATCTTCAGGTGGGACAAAAAAATGCCAACGCTAAAGAGTAAAAAGTTTAGAAAATTAGAGAATCTAAAGTTTGAAAGGAAGTTGGTTATTGGTGAAAAAATTCTTAATAAGGATAATGGGAATCATGACAACAATAAGTTTTGAATTTTGTATTGTCATATTATTATGCATAGTTGTAAATTATGCATGATTTGCAACTATGCATATTATGCATAGTTGTAAAAAATATTAAGTTTTGCAGATAAAATATTAAATTTAATTATTACAGTTAATGAGTCAATACCATTAAGAACAAGATAGATCAGTGCATTGAAACATTTGTATGTTCATGCTTATGTCAAATGAGAATGTTTTGCAAAGATTTGTGGTGATTGGAGCTTGGGCACAAAAATTCCCCAATTTTTGGACCCATCCAGCCCTTAATGCAGGAGCATCAAGTTGATAAAATAATTTCTTTAATATTTTTATCTAAGTTAATATTCATTAACAAATTTCAAATTTCAAACCCCTTAACTGTGTCTGACAGATATATCCGTCTTTGCAAGGTATAGCTTTCTTTGTGTCTAACGGATAATAGCTAGTGAAACTTTTTTTTTTTTTGATAAAACTCTTACAATTTTTGGCACACTATACAAAAAAAAAATTAACAATTTGAAATAATTTAAAACAAATATATTTTGCCGTAATAGAGAATGTAACTTTTAAATCTACGCCACAGTTAAAGTAGTATCTACGCCACAGTAAGTAGTTAAATTAGTTGACGCCAATCAACCTTTTTTGTGTTATATTATGAATTTTGAAACATTTTTTTGTATTTTATTATGGTCTTTTTAATGTTATTTTTTAAACAGTTTGTTTTTAATGTAACGATTTCCTTTGTAACAATTTTTATATATTAAACATGATCACACTGATCACAATAGATCACTAAAATATTGATTAATATATACTGAAATAAAATAAATTTATATATTTCAAAAATGTTTATATACAGCCATATTTATTGAATTCTACTAGACTATTATATATATATATATATATATATATATATATATATATATATATATATATATATATATATATATATATATATATATATATATATATATATATATATATATATTTATATTTATATATATATATATATATATATATATATATATACATATATATATATATATATATATATATATATATACATATATATATATATATATACAAACATATATATATATATATATATATATATATATATATATATATATATATATATACATATATATATATATATATATATACAAACATATATATATATATATATATATATATATATATATATATATATATATATATATATATATATATATACATATATATATATACATATATACATATAAATATATATATATATATATATATACACATATATATATATATAAATATATATATATATATATAAATATATACATATTATATATATATAAAAATATATATATACATATATATATACATATATATATATATATATATATATATATATATATATATATATATATATATATATATATATATATATATATATATATATATATATATACACATATATATATATAAATATACATATATATATAAAAATATATATATATATATATATATACATATATATATATATATATATATATATATATATATATATATATATATATATATATATATATATATATATATATATATATCCAATATAAACATAATGCAGTAGTGGTGTAGTGATAGAGCCCTCGTTTCATTAGTGAGTGTTTCTGAGTTCTATTCCCACCACATCCCTGGTAGTACCGGGCTCAAATGTTTCTCCGCGCAGCAGCCTTGTTCATCAAGGTTAGTGTTTTGGAGTTATTGATTTGAGAGAGAGTTAAAACCACAATTAAGTAGCCTCCTCGTCTTTAATGGCTTTCTCGGCCTTGGAGAGACAGGTAAGTTTATATATATTATATAAATATATTTATATAATATATATAAATATATATATGTATATATATATATATATATATATAAATATTTATATATATATATATCTATCTCTCTCTCTCTCTCTCTCTCTCTCTCTCTCTCTCTATATATATATATATATATATATATATATATATATATATATATATATATATATATATATATATATATATAAATATATATATATATATATATATATATATATATATATATATATATATATATATATATAAAGTTTTGTAATTGCTACCAAACAATTTTGTCTAATATAATGTATTTAATTGTTATTTTTTTAATAAGGTTGACAATAAAGACTTACATGGTATGAATTACATGGAAGCAATTGAAGTAATGCGAAATACTGATAAATTGGTAAATCTTGTAATAGCAAGAGAACGTAGAAGACTTAGTGAAGGACTTTCTGAAGATGATCTCAGTATTGCATTTGCTAACAGTTATTTGTTTGGTAAATTTATTTTCTATCCTTGCTTATTATTTGCTACCTTTTTCTGATTCATAGATATAGTTTACTCTGAAAACTATTATATTTTGGTTCTATAAATAATATTACCTATTTTCTTTTTAGAGATTCTTGAAAAAAAAATTTTATTAAGAGATGAATCTACATAGGCCTTACTTAGAGCAGTACATAGGCCTTCTAGTTATAGTCTAATTTTAATTTTTTTTTATGTTAGTTGACGACCCTCAGATTATACATCAAAAACAAAACTCTAAAAATTTTAGTTTGTTCGACTAATTCATTTAAAATGGATTTTGATTTGATCAACTAATCTGTTTAAAAAGTATAATTAAATCAATATTGACCATAATCAGCAAAGTTTAAATATCTGAAGCTTAAACAAGCTTAGAACCTTTAAAAAAATTAAAATATTTAAATTTAGATGTAATAAAATTGTAACTCAAGTAAAGCTAAGAAAAAAAACTTGCAAAGCATTTTCAGTTTTAAAACATATTCTTAAAAATGGGATAAAGAAAAAAATTACTTTTAAAAGTATTGTTAAACAGAAAGTTGTTGAATTTCATAAACCTGAACAGTTTACAAGACAATGTCAAGGGAAAATGTTTCTGTATGGATAAATAATGCAAAAAAACAATTAAAAAAAACAATTAAAGTTTGTTAAAGGAATTTTTAAAGTTGTACCCAAAACCTAAACTGGATTTATTAAGTTCTAATAACTATAGTCAAAGTGGTGCATTATAGTTGACAAGCCACACAGTTTGTGTATGTTTTTACTAAGGCTAAGTCGATGTGTGCTGCTCTAGAAACAAAAAACAATATTTGACCAACATACTTCTCTTATTCTAATAGGTTTTCTTGTATAAGATGCTGTACAAAAGGATAACAGGCAAGCTGATCAAGCAACGTTAAATGTTTTTGCTGATTTTCATTAAGATTAGAAATATTAAATGTGACTGCTTTTGCGTTGTTATTATAACCAAACAGTAGTTCATTGTTTTCATATTAAATCTTATTTTAAAATCTAATTTTACCTAAAATTAATCATTGAAATACTTCAGTGAAAGTGCAGTGTTGTGTTACATAATATATTTTTAAAATGTCCTTCAAATATAATGTATCACCTGTAAGATCATAATGTATCACCTGAAAGATCATAATGTATCAGCTAAAAGATCATAATGTATCACCTGAAAAATCATAATGTATCACCTAAAAGTTTATAATGTATCACCTGAAAGATCATAATGTATCACCTGAAAGATCATAATGCAGGCCTTGTTTTAAATAAAAAAGTGCTTAATGCATTAGCTTAACGCGATTTCGACGTCATAAAATTATCTTTATTTTTTTTTATAGATGTTAAGTGTTTTAACTACCGCAATAAATAAATAACCGCTAACTAGTTCAATTTAACAATTAACTCAAATAACTATAAACGTTTTAAATGTAAATTTATTATGAAAAGTTTGTAATGTTTTCAATTGTTATTTTATTATTAAATTTAGTTCAATATTATTTGTAAATATCTAATCGCTTATAATTAATGGTTAATAATGGTTAAATGTATATATATATATTTTAATTATTTCTGAAATTTGTTTTTGAATAATTATTGTTTATAAATCGTTATTGAATAAAAAATAATAATGATTTTTGTTTTTTAAAATTTCTGGAGTAAACAAAAAATATTAACATTGATAAACAAAAACCCATGTTAATTATTTTAACAGCGATTTTGTTTTTTGACTAGCAAAGAATAATTTAGGTTTTTAAATATTTTTTAAATTTATCTTGCTTGGCGTTTCAACTTGCGATATATAAAAATATAAAAAAGTTTTGTCTGCTTTGAGCATATTTTTTATACATAGCTTAGAACGCGTTCGCCGGGAATTTAATTCATAAATTTTTTATGTTATTGTAAAAATGTTTTACATTTTAAACAAATCACAAAGAAACAGAGCTATAGAGAAAAATCTTTTTTAACAATTAAATCTTTTTTTTTTTAAAATTTAAGGAAATTAAAAAAAAAAATTAAATTAAATATAAAAGTCTTAATTATGCAAACTCTTTTGTTAATTATTCTTAAAACAAAAAACAAATACTTCTACGCAAAACTTTAATCATGCAAACTTAAAAAAATACTCTACTCAACTAAAATAATATGAGTATATTTAATAATTTGAATCGTATCTGTTTATAATAAATGTTCGTAAAAATTTGTTTATTAAAAATTAAGTTCCTTAACTTAAACAAACTCAAAAGTATTTTCATTCTACGTATAATTACAAAACTTTTTTTTTTTTTTTTTCGTTTGTAAGCAATTTAACTTAATAAAATAAAAAAAGAATAGATATGATATAATCTTTGTTAAGAACTAATTTAATTTGTTTATTGAACTATATTTTTATTTTTATTTATATATCAACTTAATTAAAATATAGTAACATGTTAAAATATTTTAACATGACTTTGTGTTATTTATAAACCGTAGGGCAGCAGACAAAAGATTTACTTTAAAAGTTTTTAAAGTAAATCTTTTGTCCTTCAAAATACAATCCATATTCGAACTTTAAACAATTTAGAGAGAATAGAAATATATAAGGTTTTTATATACTAGTTTGTCTTGTTTTATAAAGAAAAATATATATTCATTAGTAAAAAATAGAGACTCTCATTAAACTAAAACGTGTCTTAGTATTTATTTAACGGAATCTGTAATGTACACGTGCATAATGAAACCTCCGTTATATAAATATATTCAACATAATATTAGTGTCATCAGCGGATGTTATAGTCTACTCCTGATTTCTTTAGCTTATAATATAACTTGATTTATGAAAAAAATTTATTGAATCGCACGCAGAAGAAATTTAACTAATTCAAAAATTGCGAGTAACAGGTAATTTTTTTTTTCTGTGCCGACCCCCTTCCCCCGCATAACTTAAAGGTAAAGGTATCTATATACCTTTAACTAATAAGAAAAGCAAAGAGTAATAATTAATGAAGTAATTTTTAGAAAAATACAAATAGATTGTTGATTCATCGGCACATTTTTTTTAATATCTCGAAAAAATGTCTTGATATTTTTGTTATCGTGATAACAAAAATACTAAGACATTTTTTGAGATATTAAAAAAAATGTCAATCCTTAATTACAAATTTTTTTGCAAATGTTTTTTATTATAAATTCAGTAAAAACTCTTAAAAAATCTATATTACAAAAAACATTTATATTCTGTATTAATAAATTTGGAATATAGATTTTTTAAAAGTTTTTTACTGAAAACTTTTAAAAATTACTACTTTTTATTAAAAACATAGCAAAAAATTTGTAGTTAAGGATTGACAAACAATTTTTCATGTTGCTAAATATTTGGATAAAAAGTTTAGCGTAAAATTAATTGCTATAAAAAGGTAAGATATATCGCGATGAAAAGTTACAACAATTATTTTTAATGTAAATTCTTTTTTGTAATATAATATTTATGTAATATCTTTACATACCGTTTAAAAGTTAATGTGGTTTTTTTATAAATTAATTACTTCTTTTATGTTACCGCTAATTTAAAAGTTAAAAAATGATAAAAAGTAGCTTAACCAAAACAGCTCTACGCGTACGTAAAAATCGCTTAAGGCGTACGTAAATCGTTCTAGACGTAACGCTTTAAAACAAGGCCTGATAATGTATCACTTGAAAGATCATAATGTGTCACCTAAAAGATCATAAGGTATCACCTGAAATATCATAATGTATCACCTAAAAGATCATAATGTATCACCTGAAAGATCATAATGTATCACCTGAAAGATCATAATGTATCACCTAAAAGATTATAATCTATCACAAAATATCATAAATTTTTTCTACATCCTAAGATCATCAATTATTTTCTACATTTTAAATGTCCATGTAATGCAAAAGGAGGAGCTATAAAAAAAAACAATAGATATCTATGAGCAGCAGTTTTTTTATAAAGAAGTATCAAGAAATTAGTAAAGGCTATAAATACTTTTCTTTTTATCTCTCTTAAAAAACAACAACATTTTTTTAAGGAAAATAATTAAAATGTGTTTTAAATATCATATGCATCGCCTAATTTAATTCTTGTAGATTAAGTTCTGTTAATTTATTCCTGTTGGTTGAGTTCTGTTATTTTAAGTCCTGTTGATCGAGTTTTATTAATTTAGTTCCTGTTGAGTTCTGTTAAGGACTTTTATTAAATAACATTTCAGTTAAATTGCTAAACTTTGAAACTGGTGCTTGTTGTTCTAAGTCAACTGCATCAAATTTTTGTTGTTCTAAATTTATGCAATAGTGATGTAGTGGTAGAGTGCTGGCTTTGTAAATATGAAGTTTCTAATTCAATCCCCATCATATCCTTGTCGTTGAAATAATATATTGCTAAGTTACCCATAGTTCTTCCACCATATTGCCATCATAGCTTCAGGCTTTTTGTTCTTTTGCCTACAGGCCACACTTTCATAAAAGTCTACAAACACCTTAGAAATTTTTTTATTTATTTGAGTACAAACCAAACTTAACAATTAAACTAAAAATTTTTAACTAACATTTTAAAATCTCAAGTCAATATTTTATAATAATTTCAATAGATGAAGATCTCTCTCCAGAAGAAGAAAATGAGATCGAAACCAAGTATAAAGCATTATTAGGAAATGATTTACAAATTCAGGTTTGTTAATTATAACTTTTTTCAACTTAAGTTTGTCATTCAAAACTTAGTTTCCTACATAAATGAAACTTATTATCTTTTTTATCTTTAAAACAAAGGTTGCACAGTTTTCTAAATTTAAAGATAGCCCAGCCTTAGGCATAAGTGTTGAAGGCTCTACAGAGCATCACGGTAAGCAGTTTTATATTTAATGTTTTTTTTATATTTAATAGTTTTTTTGATGTTTTAGGTGAATTTTGGTTTACTTTTTTAATCCAAACTTCAGTGGATGAAAATATTTTTTTGGTTGGTTCCTTAAACCATATTTCATTATTATATCATTTTTACCATATTTTATAAGGATTTAAGTATTTTTTGACTGTTTTGCTTCAAAAGCTTTTGAATATTTGTTTACTGTCAAGTGCTATTCTAGGAAATTATTTTGGGTGACAGTACCATCCCCCACCCCCTGTCCCGACCTTATTTAGCTAAAATATTGCTTAATGTAAGGGTTTTTTCACAAAAAATTTAATACTTGCTGGAAGAAAAAAAAAGTCCTCAATTTTGAAATTGGGCGACGCCCAAATACTGCGGTGTCAAAAACAGTCTAGAAAAGCCCCTGACTGTTAAGATAGTTCCTATAGTAAAAAAGTGCATTAAAAAAAAAATTCAAAAATTCTTTAAAAAATGTTTGTTTCAAATTATTTGCTCTATCATGCTGAGTTCATAAGTTTGAAAAAAAGATGGTTATTTTAATTTTTACATATATTTTGAAAAGTATGCGTCCTTAGCAACATCTTTGCAGTGCTTACTTCCCTATTAAAAAAATTCTTTTCAGATTTAAACTCAACACAGTTCACAAAAATAGGTTTTAGGCATAAAATGATATGACCCCGAAAGTTTCAATGAGAATCTGACTTTAAAAAAATCTAATGTGTGGCCCTTTTTGAGAAAATTCATTTTGAAAATTTGCAAAAATTTCTTATTTTTTTAAGATTTTTAATGGTTCTTTAATTAGTATTTAAATCAACAATATGGTTGATGATACAATGATTATTATTATTTTTTGTTATTTTTGAGTTCATAACTTTAATTTTATTATATGGAATTTGTTCATCATGCAAATCATACATGTACAAGCTGGCTTCCAATAATCCTATTCCAATAAATGTTACTGAAAACTGGAAGCAAGCAAATCTAATGTTCTATGGCAAAATCTCTTATTTTATGCCCTAACTGCTTTTGTAACCTTAGTAAAGGTTTACCCCACAAATGTTCTCCTGGGCAGGAGAAGGTAAATGTTTCAAGCCACCTAAGTAGCAGATCATCAAAGGTTCAACAGCAAGTTACTTTAACTCTGCTCAAAAACATCTATACATCTTCACAGACAAACCTTGGAGAAGAGATCAGTGTTTCAACAGGTTAGGTTTCCTATCTAATATACTATAAATAACATGTAAAATAACAATTTTCATATTTTCAATATTAGCTCTTTTTCAAATATTTAAGAGCAGTTATCAAATTTTATTACAGGAGGAACATTAATTCCTGTAATCCTTGGCAAACAAGTTGAACAAAAAAAGAAAGTAAAATTTGAAGAGATTCAGCCTCTAATAAACAAACTAGGACTTAGTCAGTATATGAATAAACAGATGCTGCAGGGGCTTCAAAAATGTGGTATTAAATTTGAATCATTCATGGAGGCAAAGCTTGACGAGAGGAGCAAAATCCTTTCAAATTTTTATGCTGTTAAGACAATTCAAGCTGAAGAGAAGATAAACGATATGCTTACCAAGCTAGTTTCAAGAGACCTTGCTTATATTAAAAACCTTACAGAGTTTTTCAACATTATCATGGATTTCAGAGGGCAAAATTACTACTGTGCTTTTGTCAGAGTTGGAATTGATTCAGGTAACCAAAGTTAAAAGTTAGGGACATAGAATTAAGTTTAGCATTCTTTTAATATAGTATTTAGTAAAATGTTCCCTCAATATCATGTTCAATTTAGGTAGAGGTTCATTGAAAGTAATCTGTAACATATTCGAGCCTGAAAAAGAGAGAAAGGATGACATGGGGGACAGAGGAACATACTCGGGGATCAATGGTTCTATCGTTCTTGCATATGCAGATAACTTACAAGAGACCCATGATAATTTATTGTCGAGAGCATAAATCTACATGAATGCAAATATTCTCTGGCATTAGATACGAAACTCATCAATATATTGTTGGGAATTTCGGTAATATATTATAACCCAAGTTTATATATTTTTTACATTACTTGAACACATATATATATATGTGTTCAAGTAATATATATATATATATATGGTTATATATATATGGTTTCACATATATATATGGTTTCATGCTTGGGATGTTTAAGAAAAGGATATCATGGTTCAACTTATAAAGGAAATACTTCAAAACAAATCCTAGAACAGTGCGATGAGCTAGAAAATATTTTGTCAGTAGAGCTACTACCTTTATTAAAACCCCTGCGAAAGTTCCGCGTGCTAGTTCAAGGAACATTTGGAAACAGTTTGGATCCCAATTACAAAAAAGACATTCACGCATTTACGCTATCTAAGGTTTTTTTCCAAGAATACTGTAAGGAGGTAGAATATAAAATGTACTTTTTTACTTTAGTAATATTGTCTGCGCCAGTACGTGGGTATTTCACTATAATTTATGTTATACTATAATTTATACTTTTCTGATAAAGATATCATTACAATAAACAGCATTATTTTAAAAAAATTGATTGATGTTTTATTATAGTATCTTCAAAAAGATTTAACTGTCACTTGGAAAGTTATTACAGCACACTTAGAAGAATTTACCTCCAGATCCAGGCATTCTCTTGGAAGATATGCAAGAGCTTCTGAATCAGCTCATGCTAAAATGAAGCCTATCATCAACAGATTTAATGTTTCCCAAAATGAACAAAAAACATCTGACAAGAAGCAAGAGAATTGCAGAGGTGTTTAGTAGTAATAACCTGTAATCAAAGAACCTTGTCAAAGTTTTAATATATTATTAAAGGATAAATTTTCATTGATTTTTAAACTAAAATTTTTTAGTCTTGTTATATTTAACAAAAAATAATAATAAACATTGTATTATCAACCACATTGTTGATTTAAATACTAATTAAAGAAGTTAAACCATTAAAAATCTTTAAAAAATATTATGAACTTTTTGCAAATTTTCAAACTGAATTTTCTCAAAAAGGGCCACACATTAGTTTTTTTTAAGTCAGATCCTCATAATGTATGATATTAGTGACCTAAATCCATTTAAACTTCCGGGGTCATATCATTTTATACCTAAAACCTATATTTGTGAACTGTGTTTAACTTGATACAACCTTTCCATATAATGTTGTATCTACTTTTAATGTATTTGTAAATTACTCAGAAGCTAAATACCCATAGCACATTACATATATTTAGATTTTTAAATAAAATAAAAATCTATAAAAAATCCTTACAATTAAAAATATTAAAAAATTTATTAAAAATAAAAAATTTATAAATTGAGTATTAAAAAATATTTGAATAATAAAAAAATTTCTAAAAAATCTTTTAAATCTTTTTTTTAAATAAAAATTAATTGATGAAAATTAAAATGATTGCATTAAATTTGATTAAATCAAACCAATAAAATATTTATAAATAACATGGCTAAAAAAAAATCCCAAAAACAAAATGTAACAACACATATTTTGTAAAACATTTTAAAATGTAATACTAATGTAAAAAATTTAAAAAATAAAATAAGAAAAAACTTCTCTTTGCTTAAGTTGAATAAAAACCTTGTAACTTTCAAGAATACACTCAGTCCAGAAAAAGTTTACTTTTTAGAAAAACTGGCTCAAGGTAATTTTTAAGCAGTAAAATTGTAAAAATTATTTATGTGATAATAATAACACTTACTTTTGCGGATTTAGGTTACTTCTGTCCTAATATGTTTTGCAAACTTTAAGTTTTAAAGTTGCAAAGTTTTAAAATGCTGAATTAAGTCTAGAGTTAAATCTTCAAAAAAGAAGAAAAAATTAAAAATAATGAAAAAAACGTCTTGTTGCCCTTAAATAATGATTTTTTTTGTGCTTAAAAACTATTGAGCAAAAAAAAAATATATATATATATCTATATCAAGGTGCGAACTTTTCATAACAATTAAAAAATATTTTTATTATTTCCAAAAACATTTTCTTAAAGACTAAAGTTTTAGAAATTTTTCTATTATTAACAACTGTAAAAACTTCCCATGAAAACAGTTTCATTAAAAAAAAACAGTATTTAAATAGTTCAATTTAAATCTATTTTTAGTTTACCCACACTCTTTTTATTAGATTTTACCCACAATCCTTTAGTTCATTTAAAGCAACTCAAAAAAAAAAAATTAAAAAAATTGTGTTGCTAAGAGATTATAATAGCTCTCAGGGCTCATAACAAAACAAAAGCAAAAAAAACTTTTATCTAAATAATATTTATGCATTTTTTTTTAATTCTTATAGTTTTTACTTATTTGTTTAAACACATAGCTGGAGTATCTATGAGACATCGAATTCATTCTGTTTTTCCTGATGGTCCCGTTGGTAAAACAAATAGAGTTTTCCCTGGCGACTTTTTAATTGAAGTAAATGGTATAGTTGTACTTGAACTCAGCCATCTTGAAGTTGTAACTCTTATTCAAAGTTTACCAGAACACATTCGTTTGGTTGTTGCTCGTTATAATGAAGGTGATCTTATTCAATATTTTTAAAAATAAGTTAAAGACTGTCTCATTGTTTTTTCTTTGCATTTTTTACTTTTTTTATAATTATTCTCTGCATTTACAAATAAGCTTTAATACTATGGTGATCTTTTTAATTTTTAGTTTCATTTTGTTAAAGAAAAATAAAAAAGTATTTATTTTTTGTTAATATCTTAATTATATAGATAGACAAAATGTGGATGACGATGTTGAAGAAACCAATGAGATTACAGGAGTTAATTCAAAATTTAGTAATGAAATCACATACATTCAATTAGAAAAGCAAGATGCAGGTCTTGGATTTAGTATTTTGGATTACCAGGTAAATAATAGTTGGGAGGAGTAAAAAGAAGGTGGTAAGTTTATATTATCAACTTCATATAAATGCTAATATGGACCACTCATTATAGGATCCAATGGCATCTTCAAAAACTGCAATTATTATTAAAAATGTAGTTCCTGGTGGTGCTGCACATGTTAATGGAGTTCTTGAACCTGGGGATCAATTAGTATCTGTTAATGGAGTGAGATTTGATAATGTATCTCTTGATACAGCTGTCCAGATTCTTAAATCAGCCCCAAAAGGTAAAATCATTTAACAAAAGATCCAGTTTTAATAAAAATCATTTTTAAAAATTTTTAGATTCAAATAATAGAGTTTCTTTTTAACAAAATTTTTTGTTTGTTTTAAATAATAAATTTTGACTAAATTGTTTTGAACAAATAATTAAATTTTAACTTGTGTAAAATACTAGTTAAGCAAGGATTTATTTTATTCAAATGGTTTGTGTGGGCTCGCTGATTTGTGTGGAGTCGCTGATTTTTGTGAGCTCATTGATTTATGAGATTTTGATAGCTTTTTTATAGTGTATTTTATTTTTGTTGTATAGTGTATTTTAATTTTTGTTGTATAGTGTATTTTAATTTTTGTTGTATAGTGTATTTTAATTTTTGTTGTATAGTGTATTTTAATTTTTGTTGTATAGTGTATTTTAATTTTTGTTGTATAGTTTTTTATAATATTGTTTTGTGTATGAATGTTATTTAAATAAGTATACCTCATAAATAGCATTATAAGTTCTTTTTTATACTTTTTTATTCTTAATGTATGCAAAAAGTAAGTCATTATTAGTTACCAGAAAATCCATTAACAAAGAGTTGAGTGAGTTTATTGGAGGTCCTTGAAAGTTTCTAGAAACTGAATTACCATTGTTATGAAAATATAATAATTGTTTTAATAAGTTAGTTCACTAATGCGAGAAATTTTTTTAAGGTTGCTCAAAATTGTAGACTAGTGGTATTTTAAACACCCAGTTTAACAAGTTTGTGGCATGAAAACTATAAAACTAAAAGTTAGTAGAGCTTGGTCTGTATTCTTTAAGATAGCTTGATACAGAATTGGAATACAAAGAATACTAGAACTTAAATTTAATGAACTTTTAGACATTGCTTTTTTTAAAAGCAGAATTGTTCTCTGCATTAAGAATGTTGCCCCTTGCAAAAAATATTGTTACAAATATGCTCATAGTTTTTGAAAATTTGACTTAATTTTAATAATATCACAAAAATAGCATATTTTTTAAATAAAAATGCTAATTGTTTATTTTTGTTTATTTTTTATTTACATGATAATAATGTTACATTTGCTTCTGTCAAATTTAGTGTGCTATTTACTACTGCTGTCGATAATGGTACTTGTTTGACTTTTTGTCGATAGCACATTATTTGTTTAGTTTTAATAGTACAAATAATAATATTTTTTTGCATGATAAGATCAAAGGTACTTTCAAATAAAAAGTTATCAATGAAAATCATATAACTGTTGTAGTATAGGGGTTGCTACCTTACTCAACTAGATAATTTGCTATTAGATTATTATAATAAAAATTGATTTATGGTGACAGTTAAAGATTTTAATATATCGTTTTTTAAATTTAAATTTAAAAAAATTTTTAATCGGAATTGAAAAGAAATAGCTTTTTTACATAACTACGTGACGTAACTGTTCTTCGGTTACTAACTAAAGGTTTTAAAAAACGAATGTCGTTATGGAACTTAGTTTTAAAAATTTGTTGAAAAATTTTATAAAAATGGTATGTATAAAAAATTTGCTTTTTCAAAAGATTGAATGATTTTAAAATAACATTCAGAGTAAAGTTAACTTATGTATATAGTGTTTTTTTTTTAATTAGCAATTTGCTAAGTTGTTAAAATGTTTCAATCTTGCTTTGTTTTAACTAAAATGCTAACAACACCCTTTTATTTACCTTCAATTAAAGAGTGGCAATTAATATATTTAGCATAGCATGCAGAGAATTGCATTTGGCCATTACATATATGTTATTGCATTTAGTTTTGAAACAATTTATATCAAAGGCTAAAATAAAAAAATTTAAATGATCTTAATTTAGATGACTGGTATTTGCCACCTAGTTTAACTTTTCCTGTAACTTCTCAGAGTTTTTTTATTTCCTATTGAAGACACTTGTGCAAAAGTTATTTAATTTTACTTTTAGTTAATTTTTAGGTTTTAATGGATTGTTAGTGTATGAAAAAATCTTTATCAGCTGTTGCAAAAATGAGCTAGGCTTAAGCACTCTTTGTGACACTGGGTGCATGGTTTGTCAAAATAATACTTTTCTGATACGTTTCTTGTAAATAAGTTAAAAATTCTTATTTTGCCTGGAAAAAGTTTCAACATGTTAGTTGAATTGTTAACAGCAATAACTGAAGTTTTGTTAAACATTACATGTTACATGTTGCACATTTTTTCAATTTAGATTGGTTTATGGTTTTTACAGGTAAAGGGAAATCATAAGAAATCATAGAGCCATTATTGAAAACATGCTATTAATTGTTTTTTTGTCAACTCTGATGGTTCAGTTTTTTCATTAAAAAATTTTCAATAAACGCTTTGACTCATTACAAAAATAATTTAAAAAATAAAATTTGATGATATTAGTTTCTTGTTACAAAGTGTATCTATTCATTTTAATTTCAATGTTTTATAGTAGTATATTTTTTATAACTATTTTTATATATTTTATATAATTATTTTTAAAATTTAAATTTTATTAATTTATAAATATATTTTAATATTTTATATAACTATTTTTTTAGATTACTTAATTAAAAAAAAAAGGATTTGATACATTTATTTCTTTTCTTCTACTCTGAATTATAAATAAAAGAAATGAAAATAGCTTGTGTAAAAGTTGTTAGAGAACAGTAACATGGAAATTTATTATGCTATTTTTCTGGGCAACTAATTTGGAAATATATATTTTGACTAGCACAACTTTATTGGGAATCTATATTTTGATTCAGCAAAAAAAAAAAAAGTTCTAGATTTCTAAATTATTAGATACTATACTATGAAAATTTTAAAGTTTTCATAATGAATATCTTGAACAAGAATTAAAAAAACTAATAAATGGTTGATGGTTTGTTTAACATAATTATAAATATATTTAAACTATATTTAAATAAAATATTTTAAATTATATTTTATATTTGCATAAGAACATAAATTCTGTATACAGCCCTAAAGTTTTTTGACCCATCTATGGACCTAGGTTTTGGATTAAAACGATATGTTTATAATAATTTTATATTAGAAAATATTTCACGTGGAAGAATGATAACAGTTCTATGGGTTGAAACTATCTGTTTATACTGATTATGTAACTATCAAAAAGATATTATTTAAATATTTTCTAACATAAAATTATTGTTAATAATAATTTTATATAGTAAATTTCATTTCAAGGAATAATAATAGTCCTATGGATTGAAACTACCTGTTTATGCTGATTATGCAAATATCAAGTAGACAAAAAAGTTGTTTGCTTGATTTTTGTAGTATATTATTTTTATAAATCTTTTTTTTTTACCTAGGAATTGTTTCTATTGGTGTATTGAAAAAGCAAAAAGAATTTTCTGTTAAATCTGATTTAAATAAACTAAAGAATGATACAGTGGCAAGCATTGTATCAAACAAATCGATTCAGAACACATCGGAGACATCTGATTTTAGTACGCATTTAAGAAAAGTTTTGTTTATTTAAATATTTTTATTTTTAGATTTGTCCTATAACTCTTTAAATTTTTTTATTGTTCCTTTGTTGTTGTTATTCTTAGAGTTTGTATTGTTATTGTGTTCAAGTAATGATAATTATAAATACTAACAATAATGATAATTAAAAATAGTAAAATAATAATTATAGTAATTATAACCATAAGAAACAATATTTATAGCAACAAAAATAATAAGAAAAGTTAAATGATATAAACTTTAAAAATATTAAAGTAATAATAAATTAATTATTTCATTGATTATAAATTAATTAAATTTATAATAATGAATTAAAGAAAGAAAACAACAAGAAAAAAATAATCAGGAGTAAAAGAAATTATACATAAAATACATAAACAAAAAATTATAAACAATAAGTATGCATGTATATATAATATATATATATATATATATATATATATATATATATATATATATATATATATATATATATATATATATATATACAAACACACATAACTATAGAATACAACTCAGTTATAATTTTATCTTTTTTTTCAGATTTGTTTTGTTACCTTAATTCTATGCATGAATCATTTTTCTTTCTTTTGGGTCTTTGTTTTAAATCATGATGGTTTTTTATTATTCATTACCTCTATTGTATTTTATTTTCAGACTTTATGATTTAGTCAAAATAGGAAATATTCATCAGTTTAAGAGAAAGGAGAAATAAAAAAAAATTCAAAAGATCTAATGCAATTAATAATTATTTTACTTATCTATTTATAATATCCATGCAAAAATGATACAATATTTATTAAATGCATCCAACAATTATGCAAATTTATTATGTTTAACCAACAATAAAATAGTTTAATAAAAATATTGAGTAAATAAGTAAAAAGTTAAAGTTTTGATTGTGATGTCATCTTTCTATTTGATGCAATTTTGAATATATATATATATATATATATATATATATATATATATATATATATATATATATATATATATATATATATATACACACATACATACATAAGTAAAACAATTATTAAATATATATATCATATATATCATATATATATATATATATATATATATATATATATATATATATATATATATATATATATATATATATATACACACATAAGTAAAAAAATTATTTTATATATATATATATACATATATATATATATATATATATATATATATATATATATATATATATATATATATATATATATATATATATATAAATTTGTTTAATTTATATAAGTATTTTAATGTAATTATTTACATTTAATATTCATTGTAATTTACTTCATCATGGTTTTTAATCTATTCATCATTGTTAGCCGTCCTTTTTTCTTAAAGTTCATTAATTATGAAAATGAAAAATACATTGAGTTTATAAGAGCTATAGATCACTAAAAATATTGTTTGTTTTGATTTTTTAGTTAATATTTTAACTCAACTATGTGTGCATATATATATATATATATATATATATATATATATATATATATATATATATATATATATATATATATATATATATATATATATGTATTAAGCAGTAATATATATATATATATATATATATATATATATATATATATATATATATATATATATATATATATATATATATATATATATATATATATATAAGTTAAGCAGTAATATATATATATATATATATATATATATATATAATATTTATTTTATATATATGTGTATGTAATTATTCATGTATGGTATATGATATTTATTTATAATATACATATATATGTGTGTGTATGAATATATGTATTTGAGTATATAAATATAAGTATGTGTTTATATATATATATATATATATATATATATATATATATATATATATATATATATATATATATATGTATTCATATATATATATATATATATATATATATATATATATATATATATATATATATATATATATATATATATATATATATATATATATATATATATATATATATATATATATATATATATATACATATATATATATATATATATATATATATGTATATATATATATACATATATATATATATATATATATATATGCATATATATATATATATATATATTTATATGTATATTTTTTTTATTTAACTCTATGTACAACTATATATAATATAAAAATATATATATATGTATGTATGTATGTATATATATATATATATATATATATATATATATATATATATATATATATATATATATATTATATATAGAAATATATATACATATGTTTATTTATATACAATATATATGTAAAAATATGTATACATATACAATGTTGCTTGGTTTTTCATGGTAAGTAGTTTTTGTAAATGTTGTATGCTTTAATTGAATAAATTTATGAATAATGTATCAAAAATGTATTCAATCACTTATAAATGCATAATTGTTTTTATGTATTTAATCTACATCTTTATTTCATAGTTTTTTTCTTTATAGTAGTTTATTAAATTTAAGCTATATGTCTATCTTTATGCAATATGGATTCTAGGCTGGGAAATGTATTTTATAGTTAAATACAAAATATGCAACATGTATTTTAATTCAAAGTTGCAGACATCTGTTAAAAATTTGTTTTTGAGAAAAATTTTGAACAAACTTTTAATGGCTTGGTAAAAATGTTGTTTGAAATGAAACTAATGTGTTTTTGTTTGAAATCAAGAAAACTTCACACAAAGAAAATTTACTATGGTATTTTTTTAAATAAAAATATTTAACTCTAGTAAGTATAAATGATAAACTATAAATGGTGCACTTTTAGTTTTCTTTAATACTTTTCTTCCTGTCTTAGATGCTTTTATAATATATAAAGATTTCATGGAATTGTCCATATTTAATTCTCTTTTGCTTTTTTTTTTCTATTCTTTTATTTATATTGCATTAATAATAAGTTTCAAGACCTTTTAAAATTCTCTTTTTTTCTTCTTGAAGATAATTTGCCAAGCTGGTAATACATTATAATAAAAATTGATTAAATTGATTTATTGAAAAAAACCTTATTGATGCTTTTTAAAAATTTTCTTTATACTCAACATGTTTTAAATTCTTTATGTATGGCACCACACATCACACGAATAATTAATGATTTTTTGTGTAGAGAATATTTTGGTTGTTTTCTTTGTTATTACTTGCATTTAATATTTCTTTTAATAAAGTGCAATCATTGTTATACTTTTGTTTTCTTTATATTTTTTGTGAAGATAACTTTTCATTTGATGTTTTTATATTTATATATATATATATATGTATATATATATATATATATATATATATATATATATATATATATATATATATATATATATATATATATCTTGTTTAAATATTTTTTAAAATTTCAAAATGTTTTAATGAAGAAAAAGAGAAATACAGAAAAACCTACAAAATTACAGACCTAAAGAGTTTGTAAAAACATGTTTTTGAGGTTTTAGTGTTTTTACATAAATAATGTCTAGTTTTAATTTGTTTACATTTAATGAGTAATATAATTCCAGGTGAAAAATTTGTATAGTTTTGAAGGTTTATAATTGCAAAATATTGATAAATGAAATAGTACATGTTTTGGGTTTATTATTTATATTAAATAGGTTTTATAATTGAGAAATATTGATAAATAAAAAAGTATCTTTCTATATACCCTATAAGTGACAGTGTTTAAACAATAATTTAAAATTTCTAAAATTTCCCAAAAAAAGTCTATAAAAAGTAGCAAATGTTTGTTTATCAACTCTGCTTCTTGGTATTGTTTTAATATTGAGTTTTGGTATTAAATTCTAAGTGTAGAGACAAAAGCACAAGAAAAAACTTTAGTTTACAAACAAAATAACTTTAAAAAAAATAAGAAACAGGTATTTTATAGTTGCTTGTTGTAATAATTACTTTAAAGATATTTATTTGTTAAATTATGTCTTGTTTTAGTTATACCTTAAGTTGTCAAGGTAATACTAATTTTCGAGGTATTTTAAGGTATTTTACTGCTTAACTAGTGGTTCTTACAGTTTTATTACTTATTATTAGAACTTACTTTTTATTAGAACTTATTTTTAGATCTTATTCTTAGAACTTATTCTTAGAACTTATTTTTAGAACTTATTCTTAGAACTTGTTTTTGGAACTTATTCTTGGAACTTATTTTTATAATCCTACTACATATTTTTAGAGTATTTTATTTTTAAAATGGTTCTATTGTAGATTTATCACTTATTATAAAAGTTAAAAAAAAATTTCTTATTATTATATTATCATATTAAATGTTGTTAGTATATTATATTTTCTATATATTATTGTTATATATTTTTATCATTATAAATTTTTATATAATACATTGTTACAACTATTATTTATTGTTGTTGCTATAGTTATTACTTAAAAATAATCATTTTATTATTTAGTAATTCATATTAGATCATAATATTATTAGCATAGTTGTTTTATATTTCTATTCTTTTTCCTTTTTTTTTTCTTTTTTTTTTTCTATAAATTTGTATTATTTTTCATCCAATACAATTTTTTTAGGACACTCAGAGGTTGTTAATGAATCTGCACCATCAATTAATGATGAAGGAATAATCACAATTCATATAGTAAATGATAGTGCGGGAATAGGTAGAGTTGAATTTATTAATAATATTATTAATAGTTATATAAATTTTATTATTCGTAAAATTATTTTCTAAATTTATTTATGTAAACATACATTTGCTGTTTATATATATATCAGTCTTCTCAGTTTGCCAGTGCACAAAAAAGCGCTGACAGGTTATTTTTAAGTTAGCCTGCGCGATATAAAAAATTTGTTTTTTTTCTATTTAATAATGGTAATAATGGTAAAAAGACTAAACATATGATAGTATAATGGATGAAAGAGCTTTTCATCAATGAGGATGATATCATGATGGTTCCTAGAGCATATCATAAGGTTTTTCTTCATTTTCTAGTTTTTTATATTAACTAACAGATTTTAAGGTTAGCGAAAATCTTTATGTAAAAATTTCAGGCAGTTAAAAAAAGAATTTGTTCTCTAGTAAACATATTAGGTAATAAAATAAAAATAAAAATAATGAAAGTAGGTTTGGAAATTAAGAAGCCATAGAGAAGAGGAACCCCTTGATGCTGCTTGCCCATACCCAAATTTTTTATTTGTAATAATACATTTTCTTAACTTCATTTTTCTAGGCATTAGTCTTGGTGATGACCCAGATGGGCATGGCTGTCCAGTCAAGGGAATAATTGAATCTGGTTCAGTAAAACAAAACGGAAACATCCAAATAAATGATCGCATTGTTTCAATTTGTGGGGAAAATTTAAGACAGCAATCATCTCAACATGCAAGATCTGTTTTGCAAAAGGCATCAATGCAAGAAAAAATTGTGTATGTAAATTGTTAAATTTTTTTTTTTTTAAATATAAAATTAATATTAATCAACAATTCGAAGAGGTTAATTTATAAATATTTAGATTGAATAAATTTGTAAAATGAATAATTAAAATTAGGTTTTTTTGAGCGAAAAATATTTTGAGTTAAGAAATAATAAATAATAATAAATAAACAAAACTTTAAAAAAAAAAATCTTATTTATTCTATTTCTACTTTATTTCATTATATAAGTCAAAAGATTTTATTTATAAGTTTATAATAGTAATGAATAAAATAAATAAATTATAATACAATAAAAGCTGTTAAACAAGTCATTTTAAAAATGTAATTATTTTGAATTTTATCCTTTCTTTAAAATGAGTACTTAAAATGAGGTGACTTTGGTCAAATTTAAAATTTTTTTTTTTTTTATTTAATTATGATTGATTAATATGTTGCAGGCTTCGGCAGGAATGACGGGCTATAGCCCGTGTCCGTCTCTGCACCCGTCTAAGTCAGTTTAGACAGGCGAAATAAAGCCCGTCTGAAACATAAGTTTTGTGTAAAAAAAAAGATGAATATTTTGATGTTTTTTTATTAAGATACTCTTTTAAAACTTCTCTCATGACATAATTTTAATATGGATAGCAAACTCCAACTTATAATTGTTTATATTTAAATATAAAAATTAAACAATTTAATCATTATTGTATAACATGATGTAGAAAATAATATAACTAAATCTTACAGTTTTTTAAACGACGATAACTGTTTGATATAATACCAAACAGTTTCCATATTATGTTCAAAATTTAATAACTATTATATTAAATAGGGAAATATACACATGTGATGCACAAGAAGTATCATGTTGTTTTGGTTTTTCAATGTTTATAATAATAACGATAATAAACTAATTATCCATGTATTTCGCTTTTTTCCGATAAACTAGTTTGTCTTACTTTAAAGACATTTAAAGTGATATTTCCGCGTTAACTTCCGCGTTAACTTCACGTTTTTTCTTAAAGAGACGGCAGTTTATTTAATATGCAATTATATAACTCGTTATTGAAAATGAAATATCTCATTAAAAATCAACAAACGTCTAATCAATTTTTGTAGATAATATAAATAGTGTTGCTTTATAGTTATGAAGTTATTCAAGCTATCCAGTCATTCAAGCTTTTCAAGTTATTCAAGTTTTTCAGTAAAGATAGTAATGGCATCATCTGGTAGAAGAGTTACATTAGCAACATTTTTGAGTTGGGGTAAAGATGGAGTCTGTGGAAAAGAAACTGAGGTGGAGAATGGAACAATTTTTGTTATGAAGATATGGTTTATGGTTTGTATAAAATATAAAAAAGAATTGCTTCGCGAGTTAAAAGGTCTGGCAAAATCAAAAGCATTAGCATTTATAGAGGGCACTACGAACGTTAAAGCTAGCAACATACATACGCTTGTATACATGCTTATATTGTATATAAAGTAACGGAAGCCCCGGTATCTTAAGAAATTATTAGTACTTCTAAATAAAAACTTATTTTATTAAAAGAAATTAGATTTCAAATTTTTTATTCACGTATCAGAATAACTATTTCCGATCAGGATAGGCATAGGTAAAGCAAAGTTATAAAAATATAAATAACAGTTTAAGTTTTTAATTTGCACGCCCAATAGAATGCAAGAGTATATAAATAATTGAATTTGAAAAATAACATAGTTACGTATCATATTACCAAGCTAATACCAAATAATTCTAAAACTATCGAGCTCATTGATTCAAGGTTAAAAAAAAAAAAAAAGATTTCAAACTATTTGCTGAATAATTAAAAAAATTAGATTTTGAAAATATTATATAATATTTTTATTCACAAAGAATAAGAGAAACGAATAAACTAAAAAAGCACGATAAAAACCTGTATAATTTAATCGAATACTTGAATAAAACAATAATATATAAATATACTCAAAAAGACTTCGGTAAAAAAACACATTAGGATGCTTGAATAAGGAAACGTGATGAAACGCCATGGTTGTTTCGAGGATTTTTCCCGTCGTTTTCACGTTCATTCGTTTGACTATATCTGCCAGATATTATCTGGAATAAAGATTAAAAAAAACAAACATAAAAAACTGAAAGTTCCTTCGAGTAAGAAATCTAAACAAAAGCAACCATAAAACAACTAACCCACGTGAAACGAAATTAGATCTGTGCAAGTGAAAACTTTGAAAAACAATTATTGAAATCTTAGTTTTAAGTATTATCCAACTCATATACTGCAGTGTTTTAATTACTTAAGTAATTAAGCATTTTAAACAGTTAATCGCTTTCTAACATATTATTTTAGTGCAATTCACAAAATGTTTAATACTCAATGACATTTTCATTCAAAAAGAAAAAGAGAAATTAACAAATTTAAAAAAAAAAAGTTCAAACTTTTTTTTTAAAGTTTAAAAAAGCCCGTGCAAGACCATCTAGACGGGCGACCCTCATAGCCTGCCAAGTCTATTTAAGACGGGCTTTTCATAGCCCGTACAGTTTTTATTTCTGCCAAAGCCTGTGTTGATACAAATTGTATTAGGTGTGCGTGATGTCAAAGAAATAAATAACTAAAATAAAAAAATAAAAGAATTATATTTTTTTATTTCAGTTATTTATAGTTATACTTTGACCCTTTTTTTTAATTTTAACGGTGAGTCAAAGTCACCCCTATAGTGGTGCTGAATTTAACCACCTAAAAGCAAATTATAATTATTGATTAATTGTTTCATATTTTACATAATCACAGATACATGGGTATTAAGTGATATATTTTGAAGGCAAAAAAGTATTAAAAACGACAGCTTGAAACTAACTTACAAATTTATTTAAGAAGTAAATCGTAAAGAAACCTTTTAATATCTAATACACAAAAAACCTTTGCATCAATCATCAAACTATCAGTGCTAGAGTTACTCAATAGATTAGGAAAAATGACAAGAGTTACTCAATAGATTAGGAAAAATGACAAGAGTTACTCAATAGATTATCTGTAATTATTTGCTGTTCAAGAATTGATAACTTTGTCTTTTTTGAATTTAAAGCTGTTTGCATATTAACTACATCAATTGATGATACACTTTTTCCTGGGGCAATTAAGACTTTATGTCGCTAAATGTTGTATCAAAGAATCACTGACAAGAGAACCTATTTCTACAGGGACATCTTCAGTTGTAAATGTTTTTTTAGGAAGTCTATCTAGCACCTGTTTTCGATCAAGTGGGTATAATCCGGTTTTTCTGAAGCCCGACTTCATACTTTCACAACAAGGTTCTTCAATTTTTTTTCATGAGATATTTAAACAATGCTGGAAACTGGTCTTTTGGAAAAGAAGGAGCTTTACATCCTTCCCCACTTTTCTTTCAAGTTGGTAATATTTTTCTTCGCTGAGCTTTCATTGGTCGAAAATATGCAACATTTAATGGCTGCATTAAATACGTAGAGTTAAGAAACTCTCAGCAACATGATTATATGTTCTTGGCATGTTTCTTGATATAAATGTGATGTTAGTATTTTATCCTAAAAACAAAAATTGAAAATTAAACAAATAAGATTATACCTATAGACAACCTTTTCTGGAAAATATAATATTAAAAATCAAATAATTACATTTTTTCACTCAGGTTAAAGTCACCCCAAATTGTGGCCAAAGCCACTCCATTAATTTTACTCAAAGTTATTTTTAATTAGAAGTGTTATAAATTTGCTAACTATTGTACAACACTCATCCTATATAAATTTACTATTAGTTATAACATCACAACCAATTTTGCAGCATATAAATTTAAAAATTTTCATAGACTCTAATCAATTAAAAAAAAAAAATTGTATCAATAGTTCTGCAAACTACAATCAATCAATCTAAAAATAAGAGTTTAAACTAATAGTGAAAAAATTGCAATAAACAAAAAACTAATATATTATAAAAATATATTCTTAAACTTGTATGCACGGAGATTTTTTTTCCACAAACTACAAATAGGGTGTAACCATTATACTTTTTTCATATTTCAATTTTTGTAAAAAATATAATATAAATAAACAGAATAACTTTACTTTTATGAAAAACTTGGAAGAATTCGCAAAGGAACAAAGTAGTTTGTAAAAGTTGAAACTAGGTTTTATTGATTAGTCACCTCATTTTATTGTAAATATTTTTTAACTAAGTTTAAATTTTCTTTTAGTTTTGATTCACATGTAACATAAGTTTGTTTTTACACAATAGTTGCACAAATTCAAAACATGTTGATAAAATTTAAAATAAAACTTCTAAGAAATAGAAAATGATTAGAAAATTTAAATTAAAAAGGAAAAAAAAAACTTTTTATTTTTTAGTATATCCTATTTACCTGCCTCTAAAGTATTGCAATTGCAAAGTTTGGATAATAAGAAAATAGAAACTCGTGAAATCGATCAAAAGTTGAAGGAGACTCCACCAGTAATAAAGCCACCACCACCAAACTTCTTTCAAGCACCGCCACCACTTCATTACTCTAATATTTTTCAAGAACCTAGAACAGTGGAAATTAAACGTGATGTAGAATATGGTCTTGGAATCAGCATTGTTGGTGGTAGACAAGATGAAAATGGCCAAAGGCTTCATGGTATATATATAAAAAATGTTTTAGAAAATGCTCCTGCAAGTGTTGGTTCAAGTTCTTTGTTAACTGGTGACCAGATTTTAGAGGTTTTTAAATTTATTTATTTATTTTTATTTTTTTTCTATTGTTTTTGGAGAGTTTACTTATTATTGGATTAAATTAAGTTCAGTAAAGTTTTTAATTTCCATGAAACGCTCGAAAAAGTTAAAAAAATTAAAATTCTAAATTTTTTTTTTGGTTTCTTTTTTAGGTAAATGGAGTTAATTTAGTTAATGCGACTCACGAAGAAGCAGTAGCTGCAATTAAAAATGCTCCTGATCCAGTAAAGTTTGTGGTTCAAAGACTACGAAGTCCTTCTCCACCTGTAGAAAGAGAAAGCCAAATAAATGAAGACCAGCCTATTTTAACAGATATATATGGAGAAGAAATAGATCAAAACAAATGTAATAAGTTTTTGATTTTTCTTGATTTTTTAAATTGTTAAATTTATTTTAATATTTACTAAATTTTTTGTTTAGTAAACCTCTACAGTAACATTGATGGACCAATTTTTACTGTTAATCTAATCAAAGGTAAACTAGGAATCGGATTAAGTATTGCTGGTGGCAAAGGAGCAGAGTCAAATCACATATTTGTAATTGATGTGAAACCAGGTGGACCAGCAGATGTTGATGGACGAATACAGCGTGGGGATGAACTGTTAGAGGTTTTTTTTCTTCGGATTTTCTGTTTTTTAAGGTGCTTTTTAATGTTTCATGTTCCTAATTTGGGTAAATAGAAATTTTACTGTGTGTTTTACTTACAGAGTGAAACATGATAAATAATAGATAAGAAGATAGCTGCTTATCTATCATTTTTACAAACTTATTGATATGGTCTAATTCATTTTAAAAGATACATGTCTCTTTTTTTTCAAATTTGTTGATTATAATTACTATATTTAAATAGAATTCTAAATGTCATCATTTGAGGACTTTAAATAGCGCTTTTGAAACATAGTAAATAGGTTATTATACGAACCTAATAGTGCAATGCATGCTTGAGTTCTGTATTCATCTTTTTAAAATTTGAAAGTCTCATACATTTATATTTTTATTGAGGTTTATATTATGTCTTATTAAAACATTAAAGAGAACTTATATATGAATTATTAAAGTGAAATTTAACAACAAAAAATTTACATACAATTAGTGTTAAAAAATTTTAATGCAACAAAAGTAGCTATTGCTTCAAGATTTTACCGTCAGATTAAGATGAGGTTTTTTATGAAGGGCATTGTACAGTTTTTTTTTTTTTTATTGCATGTGTATAACCTAAAGTTTCTAGAATAAGTAAATAAAATATTCTAAAATAATAAAGTAACCTAAAGTTATAAACTTAGAATCATTTAGAACAGGCGATTTTGATGGTGTTGGCAAATAGAAAATTATAACTTTTTATTCAAAACCAAAGTCAAAATTGTGAACACTACACTTATAATAAAAAATTAGCATGTCAAATACCTCAAAACCCTTATTATATACTATAATATAATAGTAAAAAGTATAATTAAAAACCAGCAGTTTTCTTGATTTTTTTTGAACAATGTGGTATATAATAGTTTGCCTTCTTCTTTGATGCTCTCATAGCACTTATGTGGGACATATTTACAAATATGTATCTGTAGCTAATAAAATAAAATTTTAATTTATTATGTGAATATTCTATATTTCTATATGTGAATAAAATTAACGACTTTATCTATAACTAAAATAAAAAGTTGAATAAAATTAATTTTTTTCTACTTTACAAATGATCTACTGAATAAATCATCCAATTTAGGTAAATGATGTCAAGGTTCAAGGTCTTTCACACCAAGATGCTTCTAATATTCTTCGCAAAGCTGAAACTACTGCTAAGCTTCTCCTCGGTCGACCAAATGATCCATCACAATTTAACACTCTTTTTCCAAGTGAAAAAATTCCAGTCCCTAACAAAATGAAAACTGTCTGTGTGGAACAAACAATAGTTTTAAACAAGGTAATAATAGACAATGAAGTTGTCTTTTTTTTTTATTATTTTATAGATCTTTTCATTTTTAGTTTTAATTATTTTAAATTTATTTTATGGATCTTTTTGTTTCAGTATGAAATTAAAAATGTCACACTGAAATAGACAATTACCTAAACACACATTAATATATATATATATATATATATATATATATATATATATATATATATATATATATATATATATATATATATATATATATATATATATCAAGTATATCTTATATGATAAAAATGCTTTAGGCAAACGCAGGCCTCGGATTCGCCATTGGAGAGGGTAGAAGGTCATCTGATGGACAAGCAGGGATATTTATTCGTAACATTACTGAGGGTGGCACTGCATTTAAAGTAAGTTATATTCTTGTCTCAGTTTAATTTTTTTCAGTCAAAAAAATATTATCAAAATTAACACACTTTAAAATATAAAAAATATATTTTTTTAAATAATTTTATAAATATATACTTTTTTGTGTTTATTAAACATAATTATTATATGATATTTTTTTTGCATAAACCATTGTCAGATATTAAAATTGCTTGATCAATCAAAATTGTCAAAAAAAGTTTTGTTTACAGATTTTCTAGTTTTGTTTACAGATTTTCTAGTTTTGTTTACAGATTTTCTAGCATAACTCAACTACTGTAAAAATAATTTTCTTTTATAAATGTAAAAAAAGTTATAAAAACATTTTTTAAGATATTGTTCAATTGTTATAATTTTGAATATAATAATTTTTGCGTTTCATAAAATATTATATAATAAACATTTTATTTTTTATTTTATTTAAATTATAAAAATAGACTCAAAACAGATATTGATATAAAAGTTAGAGTAAAGAAATGTTGACTGAGTTAAATTAGTAAATGAAATTTTATTTACTGTAAGTTTATTATATCAAAATAATGTTTTCATGGTTTAGGTTAAAACTTTTGACCATGAAAAATGCTATTTTATGGTCAAAGAATTAGGTTATTACTTATGGTTAGGATTAGAACTACAAGGAGTGAGCAGGCTCAGGCAATAAAATTTAAGTATGATAGTTTTCTAAATAAGTTATTTAAGCTAGGGCATAACCAAATCTTGATCTGGAAATCGGTACTGGCTAGATTTTGCTAAAAACCGATTAATCTTCACAGCAGACTGATCCAAAAAAGTGAAAATAAAGAAAATAAGTAAATAATCAAAACAAAATACTAAAACACCAAATAACCAAAGGAACATGTTTTTTGCAAAATAAGGCAGAAAAACTTAAAAAGTATTTATAGCAAAACACCACTCAACATATATTACTCATTTCTGCAGTTTTGTCGATTTAACAAACACCAATAATAAGCATGATGTAAAATTATGCTAAAATTTTTATAAAATTATGATAGTTAGGTTACATAATTATATCAAATATAATTATGTAACCTAACTATCTGGATCGTATCCAGAATGAGCAAATATCGAATCAAAAATCTGAAATCCAGAATCGGCAGAAAAATGCCAATCAATTTTGCTCCAATTTAAGCTATTTAAGCAGGTAGGTCTGCTAGTATTTAAATAAATAGAGGCATTGAAACTTGTTCAAATTATATGATTGTAAAACTAATTTTTAGATGTTGTTTTATGGTAAAATTATGGTAAAAAATTAGCAATTAAAAACTAAAAGATTTTCCAAAAATATATGTTATTTGCAATTTTTGCACATATTATGTAACAGAGAAAAACAAAAAGATACAGTCAAATTTTCATTGCAGAATATGTATTTCATTAACAATTTGTTTGAGTTTATATTACTGGGCTTTGTCATTCATGATGTAATTTATTGTTAGACACATAAAAGCATTGTGGAAATTTGTTAATGGCATTAATACAGATGGTTCAAGAGGTGCAGACCGTTTGAAATTGTTACTTAAGTATCAAAAGTCAACATTTTTACATTATGAAAAGCAAACATTAAACAAAAATCTGATATAAAACTCCCAATTTTATTCTAGTTAAGGGTAGGAGTAGTAATTGTAATTAAGGTTTTATTTGTAAACCTTAGATAGTAATGTTCATAGTAGTGATATCTCAAAAATACTTTGATCTATATTTTCACATTGGCTTAACTTGTTAGAAGGGTTGATAGAAACAGTGTTGTCTTAACTTGTGCAAAAACTGATTGAATTTCTAGTTTTTCAGAAGCTATTTTTTTTAGATATAAAAAATGCTTATTTCTTTCAAAGCTAAAGCATACATTGTTGCAGATAAAGCTTTTTTTCATGAGTTTTATTATTTGATTATTTTTTTATGATCAGTTTGATTATTTGTTTGATTTAATCTTATTGGTTATTTGGTTGATCTTTTTATTCTCATAAATTTATTATTATTCATAACTCAAATCTGCATTGCTTCTCTTCATCTTATCTGTATTAAGTTCAGCACTCATAAGTTTTAATGATGTTTTTTTTAATTATTATTTTTAAAGTATACTTGATTTTTTTCAAAGTTGTTAAAAACAAGTATCAAGATTTTCATGGTCATAAACTTTGATGACCATATAAATAAAATCATTTTAAAACATTTTTGTGAGTGATTAATAAAGTTGGATTAGTCACTGTTTTGTATCTATTTTGAATTAAAATAAATTGGAATAAAGAAAAATGTAAAAATAAAAAGTATTTTTAGGATGGAAGACTTTCGGTAGGAGATCAACTCCTGTTTATCAATGGTCATTCACTACGAGGTTTGTCTCAAAGTCAGGTAATTAAGATTTATTAGAACTATTTGTTGTATCATCATTATTATGACATTTTAATTACTTTTAAAAATTTATTTTTTATTTTTGCTTTTTTTATTTTAATTTTTAATTATTTATTTTTAGATAAATTTATTCAGAGTAATAGTTTTTTAATAATTTGAGCAGTAACTTTGTTTTGTTATGAATGAAATAAAAACTGCTACATTAAATTGCTACTAACATTAATTTTAACACTTATTTTTAATAAAACTAATATTTTTAAACTTTGTAAGAAAATAGCTGAAAGCTATCTAAAAGTTAGCTGAAAGAAATTTATTTTATTAAGTCACATTGGTTGTTTATTATTGGTTGTTTTTATTGGTTTATTGGAGTGTGATTTGTGATTTGATTGATTTATTTTTTCTGTTTAAAAATTTCTTTATTTTTGCTCACAATTTTAAAGTTAAGTATATAAAGTTATACTTTTAAATTTTCAAAGCTTTAATTTTGTTATTTTTAATATCTAAATTATTATTTTATATGATTATTTTGATCTTTATTAGATCAAAAAAATATCTTTCATTGCAGAGCAGCCTGGCATTAAAATTGAATTAAAATTGAATTAAACTGTTTTAAGTTATGCAAAGTTTAAATTTTTTTAGGCAGTGAGTAGAATTCGTGACTCAGAAGGTGAAGTGGTGCTTCAAGTGTCTCGAGAAATTGAAGTTCCACTGGATGACGATAAAAACATAACGAAAACAGATAGTGAGCAATTATCCACAGAAACAGAAAACTTTTCTTCTACTTTGAGTATGGTTTTATTTTAAATTTTATTTTGAATTTTAAACAAGTTTAAAATTATAAAGTCCAACATAAGACACAACCCATAATAAATATTACACCCTACTACAACTAAATACTCTACTACAACACCCAAAGCACCCAACTACTAGTCATCAACTTGAATTGTTTTCACATTGTTATTTTATATTAAGTTTTTTTTGAAATTTAAAATTTCAATATGTCTTTAATCCTATCAAGTTTTTACTTTATAGTTATATTTAAATTTAAATTTTAATATAAATTTTATAATTATATTTGAATAATCTTCATACAAATATTTTTTTGCTATTTATATTTTTTCAATGTTCATATATATACATAAACATTTAGGATTTTATAAAAATTCTTTATTTAGAATGATAATGTTAGTTTAAAATTAAAAAAAATTTTTTTAAATTATATTTTAGAAACTTTTTTTTATGTTTTAAGTTTTTTAAATATTATTTTAGTAATCAGAATTTTTTTTAATATTTTAAATAATATTAAATATAATTATTTATTGTTTACAAACACTTTTTACTATTTACATTAAATATAAATGTAATTAGATTATAAATAAAGGTTATAAAAATTTGATTATAATTTTGAAATTCACAAAATGTGGATATTCAACTATCAATTACCAACAAATGAGTTCCAATCTTTTTCAGAAAATTTAAAACCACAGTTGTTTACAAAATCTGAGTTGAATAATTTAGTGAGAGATAAAGGCACTACAAGATTTTGTATTGAGAACAAGAAGGAAGATTGAAATACCATATCAAAAACTTGTTTAAAAGCTGAAAGTTATACAATAGAAGTCCTTATACATTGTTATGATCTCATTAGGTTCAAATAAACTTTAAAAAGTTATAGCAATTTTACAAAATACTAACTACACAGCTTACAGTTAGATTTAAAAGTTGTCTTCATGCTCCTTGGATAACAAAAGGGATACACAAAATTTTTTTGTTTAATTTATGAATGGGACAGCAGAGCAAAGAATCAACATGTAAGAAAAGAAAAAACTAAGTGAAATAAAGAGATCAAACAGATATGCAGAAGATTTTGTAAATAGAATTTTATAAATTATGACAGATATTTTGTATATTATCCTTTAATTTATCTGTAACCAATGTATTGATTAAAGAAAATTTTCTGATGATAAATAGAAAAGAGATAGACATACAATACAATATAATTTATTTTGAATACGTTGGAGTTTTTTGGGAATTTTTTGAGAATTTTGAGATAGAAGACTATAATCAGTAATCATATCAAGAATTTTGAGATAAAAGACTGTAATCAGTAATCATATGGAGAAGACTGTAATCAGTAAACATACCGAGACAATTCCACAGGCAATTATTTTTTCAGCTTCTTCTGTAAGGATTTTAAGGATTTCAAATGAATACTCATGGGTCTTTATTGGAAAGTTTAATATACCCATGGGTATTCATTAAAAAGCTTAAAATTTAAGCTATGCAATTAATTATATATTAAAATTTGGACAAAAACCAGAAATTCTATTTTTCTAAGTTTTTTTTTAAATTTGGTCAATTTAGAAAACAACCTTACATTCTTTACTCTCTGTGACTTTAATGTTAATCTTTTACACTGAACTTCTTTGAAGAATAATCTTGCTGCAAACTACCTCTTAGTAAAACTGGATTCAACATGTTAAAAAATTTAGCCTTAAACAGTAAAAATATTTTGATATTTTTCAGTTTTTATATTTTAATTTCTACCATGGCTCCTTTAATGGGACAAAATGCAATAATTCAGTGCACTAGAAAGAAATTATTACAAGTATACTTTCTTGAAGGTTTAAAAATTATTAAGTCATAAAAATTGAGTTTGTTTTTAAAAATTACTACATTTGAATTATTTTGTATTTTCAAGCATTTCTGACCACTGTGTACCTGGTTGTTCTTGATAATTACACCTTTCTACTATATTTTTCTCTCATGTTAGTTATGATTTTTAATAATTTTGAAAATGATGTACATGTATTTTATTAAAGGTTTTCTTATATATTGACTAAATAATTATATATTGACTAAATAATTATATATTGAGTAAATATTTATATATTGAGTAAATAATTATTGAGTAAATAATTATTGAGTAAATAATAAATTGTTTCTATTATTGCAGCATCTTTTTCTCCACATCTTCCAGTTATATCCTCGCCTATTCGTGTTTTGGACTCAGTGAATGAACTTGAAGAAGTTTTAACAAAAAATCCTATTATCCTTGGTAATCCTACAAGCATTCAAATAAACATAGTGGATAAAGGTCTAGGAATAAGTATTGTTGGCGGAGTAGACACTCCATTGGTTTGTTTGTTTTTTATGTTTGTTTTTATTTTAAATATACAATTACTTTATTTTAACAGTAAATATAATAATAGAAAAATATATCATAAAAATATTTTTAGGTAGATGTTTTTATAGTGGAAATTTTTGCTGATGGTGCTGCTTTTGAAGACAATAGACTTTGGTCAGGTGATCAAATATTGAAAGTGAATGAATATGATATGAGAGGTATAACACATGACATGGCAGTCAATGCATTGTGCAGCGATGTTGCTGTTATGCGATTAGTTGTACTTAGAAGTGATGAGATATCTAAAGATCCGAGTTAGTAAAGTTTTAAAAATCAATAAACTATGACTTAAACTATTAATTGGTATTTAGGCTAATTATTTATATTTATGTCTAATTATGTCATAATTTTATATCCTTCTTTATGCATGCTTCGTTATGTATACATAATTACTTATACATAATGCCTTAGTTATGTATTCTAATGTACATATAAAGTAAAATCCTGGTACCTCAAACCTCCTAGGGACCAAGGAAAGCATATATATATATATATATATATATATATATATATATATATATATATATATATATATATATATATATATATATATATATATATATATATATATATATATATATGAATATATATATATATATATATATTTATATATTTATATATATATATATATATATATATATATATATATATATATATATATATATATATTTATGTATATATATATATATATATATATATATATATATATATATATATATATATTTATGTATATATATATATATATATATATATATATATATATATATATATATATATATATATATATATATATATATATATATATATATATATATATATATATATATATATATATAATATATATATCAGACGCAGATCCAGCATTTTTTGAGTATTGAAATAGCTGACATGGATCAAACTCCAAAAATTTGTATCTTTGCACTATTGTCAAATAAGGATGTATTTCAGAAAAATTGCGATATATATATATATATATATATATATATTTATATATATATATACATACATACGTATATGTATATTTTTATTCATATATATACGCATTTTCTTTTATATAAATTTTATATAAATAATTTTATTTATTATTATATTTCAAACAGATTCGTTTGACTATTTCACAGTCAGCATTGAAAAACCAAGCATAGGTGGTCTTGGTCTAACCATTGTAGGAAGGTATTAGTTTTTATTTTGTATTATTATAAGAATTATGTTTTATATATATATATATATATATATATATATATATATATATATATATATATATATATATATATATATATATATAATATATATATATATATATATATATATATATATATATATATATATATATACATATATATATATATATATACATATATATATATATATAATATATATATATATATATATATATAATATATATATATATATATATATATATATATATATATATATATATATATATATATATACACCCATGGCGACCAGAATGTCCTGGAATGTCCTGGATTTTTACAAGTGTCCTGTAATGTCCTGAAATGTCCTGGAATAGATAAAGAGATTCACATTTTAATGCATTGTTTAATGCATAGATAAAGAGATTCACATTCTAATGCATGGTAGCAAGCACCTGAATATCAAAATTGGATTATTAAAAAAGTATATCAGTTGCCTCATGCTTTTTTTTGTAAAAAAGACAGTAATGTTAGAAATATGGGTGAAAATAGATTTAAAATTAAAAAGTATTAAAAAGCATTAAAAGTCATCTTAAAATTAAAAAGCCTCCTGTATCAAATTAATTATGCAATTATTTTTCAGAATCGATTATTTCATCAGTTTTAAAAACTAGTACAATTTAGGTTATTGAAAAGCTGTCTACTTCTAAAACATTAGATATGGTATTTATAAATGAACAAGTAATAACTGCTGAAGTTAGATGATTATTATATGTGGCTTTATCAAAATCTTTTCAAAGATCATGGGAAGAACTAAACTCACTATTTATATAAGTGTTTTCTGATAGTAGATTTGCAAAACATTTTCAGCTAGGTTGAACAAATTGTGGATATATTACAAAATATGGCATTGTACCATACTTTTTTTTGATTTGTATTGATAATAAGAACTTGGCTATAAAAAATGATGTTACTTATCCTTTACACTTTACTAGTCCTAAAACTGAAACAAATATAAAACTTCTTCTGATGATTCTCTCACAGAAGAAATTAATTCTGCAAAATATGTCAAAATCCAATTAAAAATTTACTTTAAAAAAGGTAATACTTTTATAGAGTTGCCTTTTGAACCTTTTGTACTATCAAAAATTAATTCCAACTCAGTATATATATATATATATATATATATATTATATATACATATATATACATAAATATATATAAATATATATTTATATATATATATATATGTATATATATATATATATGTTTATATATATGTATATATGTATATATATATGTATATATATATATATATATATATATATATATATATATATATATATATATATATATATATATATATATATATATATATATATATATATATATATATATACATAATTATATATTTATATAAGTAATTTTGATAAATAAATTTCAAACTAGTTATTTTAATAACTACTTTTAAATTTAGTTACTTCGATGTTATTATTCCTATTGCTATTACAATTTTTTATTAATTGCTTTTTATATTATCCTTAGTGTTGCTAAAAATTTGTTTTCTATTGTCTATTTTATTTTTTAGTGCGATTTTTTAAACTGCGCGTGAAAATTTGATTGCAGCGGTTGTGAGCTAAAACTTTAATGTAGTTTAAACAGGTTCGGACTGGCGAGGGAGGTTGAGGGTATTCTCCCAGGCCCTGGGTGAATACCCTTAAGTGATTTATTATATATGTTTTTACCATTAAGTAAATAAAGTTACAGGTAAAATAAATCATATTTAAAAAAGTTACAAATTAAATTCAGACCAGTCAAAACATCATAGCTGTCAAAGTTATGTGTATTAAATAAAAAGTTGTTAGCATTAATTACTAACGACTAAACGCTATTTTTTCCGCAGTTCTTTGGTTCAGTATGTTAGAAATATTCTTAAAGTTACAAAAGTTGCTCTTTGCTCTTTTAAGTTCCATAACTGGAATGATTTTTTAATATGGATACAACATTGGCTTGTAGTTCTTGGAAAGGTTGTGTAAATTAGTTTTATTTCCTTCTATTATATACTGGGAGTAGTTTAAGCAAAGATTGTAACAAGTTACTATCACTTCATTTGTAAAAGATTTTTTATTTTGTGATACCAATTATTATTGCTTTGATATAAGTGAATAGCAAGTTTGATTTTTCAACAGCCTGATAATAAGAATTACTTTGTTTTGAAGGAGAATAGTTGAAAAGTTCTCTATTTTAAAAACGAATACAGCTGATTTTTTCATAGATTTCAAGACAAAAAAATGATTTTAAAAATGCTCCTCTAACAGTTTCTATGTTGCTAAGGAAACTGGCGTTATATTTGCATAGCTTAAGGCCATATATTTGTAATTGTAAAGGAGTTATGTAAATGAACTATTAATGATCGCTGGCAGAAACGAATTCCACCGTCAATTAGAGCTATTGCAACGGATTGAAACTGAGTTATATGCTCATTTAACTGTTATATGCTCATTTAAGTTTGTTTTTTGGTGTGTTGCAATCTTTTTTTTATTAAAACCATTATCTCATTAGAAACCCAGATGTTTGAATTTATCTTAAAGATATAATTGAAGTTAATTTAAATAATATTGTTTGAAATAAAACTTGTTTCAGAAATTGTCAGTGTTTAGTTTGATAAAGTTTGCTTCTTAGATTTGATAAAGTTTGCTTTGTAGATTTGAAATCTGTCAATCAGTTCTTGCAGATATAGTGGGACTATGCAAAATCATATCATCTGCATATTTAATGATACCAGCATAGATGTTATTTATTGTCGATTCTACTTTGCATTCTGGGACTATTCTATTAAAGATGCTTTTAGTATAAATGTTACATTGATGTGGTGATGGAATAGATCCTTGCTGCACTCCTAATGGATTTGAGGTAAATCCTTGATATATGTTTGCATTACCTCAAAGATATAGCGATAAAATTGTGTGAACTGCAGACAATGGAAGTTTTTTTCGTAATTAGAGCTTCTTAAATAGCAAATTCCATTTGTACGTATTAAAAGCCTTATCAACCTCTAAACTGCACGTATCGCACGGTGTTATTGTTTTTAAAGTGATGTATAGTTTCTCAATAAAAACTCTGGGTGGAGAGTAAAGTTTTTTTTTTAAATCAAACTTGTGGTAATGGCTATTTGTCATCAATCTCGTGGTAATGGCTATTTGTTACACTAGGTTATATAAGTAAGATTAGATATTCTAGAAGTTTAGTAAAGATATGTAAAATACTAATTTTGGGGTAATTATCAGGATTATAATGTGTTTTTTTAAATGAATTAACATGAAATAGTTGTTGAAGTTGATCTTTTGATACATTTTCATTTAATAGAATACTGTTATAAAGTTTAAAGAGCCACATATGGAAATTTTTATAAGAGCACTTACCCCATTGCTGTCTAGGGATTTATTACTGTTTAGTTTTGAGATACTATGAATAATTCAACAATTATATTATAACTCAAAATATAAATTTAAATTAAAATATATAATATGATTATCATTCTCACAAAAAAAAAGCAAAGAATAATTAAACAATATTTTAGTTCAGTCATTTATGTGTATTAACGATCATCCATCCATGAACTAGTATAATGTTAAACACTCCCATTTAATAACAAAGTGATTAAATCTGATAAACTTGGCATTGGGTATTCAACTTCCAAATCGTTGCACAAAACGTACCCCAAAAAAATACAAATCGCAGAAAACAAAACATTGTATTTTGACACACTTTAAGCAAACAAAAGTTCAGACTATCCGTGAATAATATGTTTAACAATTGCCGATTGGCATGAAACTTGGAGTTCTGTAATAAAGTTATATATATATATATATATATATATATATATATATATATATATATATATATATATATATATATATATATATATATATATATATATATATATATATATATATATACATATATATATATATATATATATATATATATATATATATATATATATATATATATATATATATATATATATATATATATATATATATATATATACTACTACTACTACTACTACTACTACTACTACTACTACTACTACTACTACTACTACTACTACTACTAAAATACACAAAACGCGACGGGGCAGCGTCATATAAACAGCTGAAAAAAATGTTTTAAGTATTTACATTTCAAAAAAGTTTCTTTTATTCGAAAGTAAACAGTCTTCTCGTTTACATCATTAAAATATTTAATAAATGACTAAAAACAAATTTTTTTCTTCCGTAAACTGTAAAAACGTTAAAATCGAGTTTTCGCATTAGTTTTCACTCATAGTAATTTACTTTCATAATCTATTTAAAGTCATTTGAATAAATTACTAAACAGAAACGTTTCAGCTTATATATAACTTCTGCCCCATAGTATTAAGCTAAAACTTGAAACTCGCAGATAATAAAATCACCGAATATTTGTAACAAAATAAAACAAGGAGCTTCGCGATTTTTTTAAAAAATAAACCATTCAAAATGCACACAAAATAAAACGGCATTTTTTGAAAACGAAAAGGCCTAAAAGCTATATTTTGTTTTGGATCTCTCCTTAACTACGCCAAGAATGTAAATAAATTCTTAGTATTATTTTTTGAATATCGACTGTTTTAAATAATATTTTTTAAATACTCTGACTTCCGCGGAATCGTTGTTTTCGATCGCTGCCGATTAAATCTATTTTTAGTTACAATCAATAAGACGCTAACCATTATAAACCTTTCACTTTATTATGGCACATTAAAGCTTTGTTTTAATAATATAAGAGTTTAATTACTTGTTTATAAGGAAAATCCTTTTTTTTTTTTTGAACTAGCGAAGTACCATTTCCTATAAACAAAATTCTACCTTTTTTCAAATATTGACATTTTTTTATATTATTTACTTTTTTTTATATTATTGGCTTGTTTTGTTTTTTTGTATTCTGGAATTAAAAATTTAACCTAATCGACTTATATAACAACTATTTCAAGAATGTTAAGAATAGTACGTAGTTAAGTAGCTTTACGTTTTTCGTATAGTAGTTTTAGTTTATATAAGTTTACGCAAAGATTTTTATAGCGTTTAAAAGCATAATAAAAGCTTATTTTTGATTTCTTTGTCTTTAGTTTTTGATAAAGTGTTGAGTTTCTCATATAAGAAATTTAAGTAACGTTTTTTTTTTTGTTTTTTTTTTTTCGCGTTTTGACGAGATACAAGCTTTTTATTAGCGACTTTTAAATTATGTTTTTTTTTAGTTTTTTTTTTAGTTTTTTTTTTTTTTTTTAACGCTTTTAACTTTTTAGAAACGAAACCGGTGTTTTTATATCCGATGTTGTGAAAGGAAGTGTCGCTGATTTATGTGGAAAATTAGCTCATGGAGATGAAATTCTTTCTATCAACGGTGAAGACCTGAGGAGTTCTTCTCAAGAAAAAGCTGCCGCGATGTTAAAAGTATTTACTTATATATTATTAACAAAAATACATTTAGTTTTTTAATTTTTTTTTTTCATTAAATGAATGAAAAAAGTTAAAAAGAAAAGAAGTTTTTAATTTTTGTTGTTGTTGCTGTTATAGCGCGTTCAAGGCTCTGTTACGTTAGAAGTATCACGGTTAAAAGGAGTTTCATCGCGTGATCATGCAAAACCTGACAAAAATCTACCAGCTGGCTACGATAAATCAGTAGAATCTTTAATACCGTGTATTCCGGGTGGTTTTAAACAAACAAGTATTAATTTTACCTCAAAAACCTGTTGTATATAAATATGTTATTTATATATATATATTTTCTTATTACTACTAATTTATCCATAAATTCTTTTAAAGGCGATGGTCATCTTATCGAATTTTACAGATCCGCTAAAGAGCCTCTTGGCATGAGTCTCACTCCGGGACCAAATGGAGTTATTTCTGTGTCGTACATTCAGCCAGGATCGGTTGCTGGTAGGACTCACCTTCGCATTGGTGATCGTCTTTTAAAAATAAATGATTATACAGTCCAAGATATTTCAACTGCTCAGGTTAGCAAAAACCTTCTATTTTTAATTTCTTCAAATGAACTTTTTTGATGTTAAATTTAAAATGAAATAAAATGTTATTTTCTGCGGAGCCGTGGCTAGTATTTTTTTTTGAAGAATACCTTTAGTGAGCCGGCTTTTTTTTTTAATAATAGGGTAGAAGTGGGGTTTCTAAATTTTTTTTTAGGGTTATTGCAATATCTTTTTTATTTGATGTATGTATAAACTGAACCAAACAAGTTTTTACGAATAAATCTTCTTTTTAGGCACCGAATCAATCCCCTTAGGTTTCCAGCCATTTATATAAATTTTTGCTTTTAGAGAAACCGTGCCATTGGAGTAAAGTGGGACAAGTGTGAGTAGAAGTGTGACAAATAAATTTAAAACAACATTTTAACACAAATTATTAAATAGAAACTGATAAAACCATAAAATCACCTAATCAACATAAAAATGTTGAAGAGCTTTTACCAATCGAAATAATCAAATGGCAACGGGAAGAAGCGGGCATAACTTTTTTTTTTTTTCTATCTCACTTCACCCCAATGTAAACACTTTTTTAAGGTACATTTCAAAATTAGGGCTTCTAGCGCACGCAGGTAAATAAAGCAATTTCTGATAAATAGAGGGGAAGTAATTTAATTTAGTAACAGTATTTAGGCACCACTCCTAATTGAAATTTTTTTGGCTTTCCCGTTTCTCCCGCGTCCCACTTCTCCCCTACCTAGTGGAACAATTTTAAGGATTTTGGGGCCCTAATGACAGGTTTTGGGGAGGCAGCCACAGCACCGATTTTCTGTGATATCTTTAAGAAGACCTTATTTCTTATCTTTAATAAAGATTTATTTTTTTTTAAATTAGAATTACTATTTCTTGTTATTTTAGTCAATGCTAGCTGAATTAACAGGAAGAGTGGTTTTGTCTATTAGCCGTCCAATTGTTGGTAAGGGGCATCCGGCCGCAACCTTAACGACTATAAATCAAGAAAATGAATCACTTGAAGCTAAGTCCTCAAACTTGCATTCAAGCACCGGCTCAAATGATAGTATTATTTTTAAGTAAGTAGTTTTTGTGTGCGATTAATTTACTAATAAATATCAGATATCAAAAAATTAGGTGGAGGTATTTTTTCTATGATCAAAAAAAAAAATCAATCAAAAAATTATATTCTATTAATCTATAATTAAATATCAAACTGAAGTCCGTAATTTTAATGATTTATCAAAGCGATTATCATTATTGTTGTAGTTATTGTTTTATTTTTTATAAAGTTTATCATTAATATTTTTACAGACCGCATATCAAGTCTATAGAGCTTGAGCGTGGTTCAGAAGGACTAGGTTTTAGTATAGTCGGTGGATGTGGTTCACCTCATGGAAATTTACCGATTTACGTTAAAACAGTTTTCGAGAAAGGTGCTGCTGCGAAAGACACCCGTTTGAAAAGAGGAGACCAAATTCTTGATGTTAATGGTATAAGTCTAGAAGGTGTGACCCACGAAGTAGCTGTCAATATCTTAAAAAAAAGCAAAGGCTCCATAAAATTAACTGTTTTGTCATCTTCCTAATTTATCCAAATAAAATAATACCCGAATCGCACAGGTCTCCACAAAAAAGAATAAGAAATTGGCGAATAACATGTTCTGGTAAACATGCAGTTTGTACAATAGTATGTGCATGTTCCTGTAAACACGCTGACTTATGGACACAATAGATATCAATGGTGTGCATTTTTTGATGAAAGGGGGAAAGACGCTTCTTATTTAAAAAGTAAAAAAAAACATGTTTTGTTTTCTATTCATTGTTCATTATAAGTATATAAAAAATTTATAATATTTTATTACAAGAAAATAATTAAAAATACAAGTTACTACTTGTATTTTTATACTGTCACACTTTCTTAAGTTGAATAAAAAATCGATTTGTAACTTTAGTTTTCGTAATTTTTTGTTTCTATTTTAGCTATTTACAAAAGAATATTTTTATTTTTTATTTGTTTATATTTTGTATAAATTTTTATAAAATGATGTAAATAAAAACGCAGAAAGTTTCTTTAGGTATTTGTTATGGCAACTAAACTAGTTAGCAATGTTTGAAATTTTATTTGTTCTTTATTTTGTTTTATCATTAGATTAAATTTTGTTGCTGGTAGTATTGCATGTGTCCAGAAAATTTCTTAAAGTCTGTTTATAAGTATTTATAGTTTTCTACGAGCGATCGTGTATTTTTTAAATCTATAGTTATTCCTTACATAGTTTGTAGTCAAAACTTTGATAAGATTTTTGCTTTTTATTGTTAATGAATAATAAATTAGTTTAACTAACGAGAAAGATAGATAGCACCCGTGATGTAGATAGCTTTAACTGGAGACCTGCAATTTCTGGCTTTAACTGGAAATCTTGGTTCGAAGCCGGTTCTGGCTATATATGCACATTGGTAAGGTAAGAGGCGTAAACTTGGTTAAATGCTATTCCGCTCTATACGCATTTTGTATTATTTTACTTATCATTGTTAAGAGATCGTCCATTTTAGACGCGATGCTAAATTTATTTTTAAAAGAGAAGTAGAAGATTTTAATTAAACTTAATAATTTTAATTAAATTTAATAATTTTAATTAAATTTAATAAGTTATTTTGAAATTTACTTCAATTGAGGCATTGTAAGGTAAAACATTTGACTTTTTTTGTTCTGTTTATTAGTGAAATTTACCAATTCGTAATTTATGGTCGATCCCTAATTTAAATTTTTTTAAGATTACGAATCAAGTAAAAACAAGCATATAAAACAAAAATAAAACATTAAAAATTTTTATCGATTTAGATTTGTAATATAAACGTAATGTTTATATTACAAATCTAAAACGATAAAAATGTTTAGAAAGCAGAACTTTTATTAAACAAAATTCAAAAAAGTAATTTTTTTAAACATAAACAAATCTTAGTACTTGTGAGTAAAAACAGTGCCGGATCAAGGAGGGGGGCTATAGCCCCGGGCCCCGCAATTTTAGGGGCCCCCAAAAATTTTAGAAGATTTTTTTTGTTTTTTATTTTTTTGTTTTTTTGTTTTAAGGCCATAAAAAGGCCTCCAAAAATAAAAATAGCCCTGGGCCCCAAGAAGTCAGCCACTGAGTAAAAATAGTTTTCCTAAAAGATTATTATTAAATATGTTGTCAAAAGAATCAACGGTGAAAGAATTTTGCGCATTTATTTAGAAAATACTGGATCGTCATCTAGAATTTCTAAGCTAGCCAATTTCAATTTCTTCTAACGTAATGTTACAAAGAATAAAGATTCTTTGTAACATTACGTTACAAGGAATCTTTATTCACCCATCGCACTTAGGATATGGAAGAAAGAAGATGTTTGTGAATAAAAAATTGGCCTCGTAATTTCGTCGTTCATATTTGCATGTTCATATATGGACTATGTGACATATAAGAGCAAAAAGATACAAAATATCGCGTTCTTTTGTGCAAACAGACGAGGGTTCTTACGGAGTAAGATTCAAACCAGACCGAAAATATTATCAAAATGCGAGCAGGTATTTTGTACAACAATATTCTTACAATTTATTTTCTAATCGTCAATATGGATTTTGATCTCGTTCTTCTGCTGATTTGTTAATGGTAGCTGATAGGTTTTATTGTGCATTAAATAGATGCAGTGGTGTCACTGAGGTCGGTGTCACCCAGTGCGTTGAACTCAGGGTGTCACCCCTCTAGACTTTCACTATGGGTCTCTTCAGAGTTTCCCTGTACTAGACCATATACATAATCCGATTGTATATAAAAATGAACGGTTATAAATCCGACAGTTCCGACTAGACCGGGCTGAGCTCGGCGAACTCTAGTGTCTGAGACAGAGCTTGGGGTGACACCAAAATGAAAAATTTCTAATTGTGACTACTGACTAGCAACAACTTGTTTCCTCTGACAAAAATTGATTTTTTTTCATTTTGGTGTCACCCCTCTGTATCAAGCTGTGATGGTGTCATCCAGTGCGGCCCGCACCCCCTAGCGAGGCCACTGGATAGATGTGGAGAGGTTAGAGCTATCGCTCTCAATATTTCTAAAGCCTTTGATAAAGTTTAGCTTGCTGGTATAAGTTTTACAAGCTTTCTTCTTACAGGTGTACCAGGTAACATCTTCAAGATTAACGAATCCTTTCTTACCAATCGTAGCATAAAAGTTGTCCTCAATGAATAACACCCTTCTTCATTTCCTTTAACTTCAGGGGTTCCTCAAGGTTTTATGCTTGGCTCTAATCTTTTTTTAATTTACATTAATGGTTTCCCAGAAATTCTAACATCTAAGGTAGCATTGTTTGCTAATGATACTTCAAATTGTTCTTGTCTGATAAGAAACCAACACTTTCTGATTGCTTGGAGGGTGCATTTAAGCATGAGAAGAATCTCACTTCTGCTACAGCATGGGGCTCTCAATGGCTGGTGAATATCTTGTAAAGAAAATTATAAAGAGTATAATATAAACAGTACTCCATACTGTTTTCATATCTGGGGTGAATCTTTGAATGATGTTCTTTTAGACAAAGTGCTAAAACGCATTGTAAACATAGTTGGACCTGCTCTTGCAGCCTACCTTCAACCATTGTCACATCGTGGTAATGTTTCTTCTCTTTCTCTTTTCTATAAATACTATAATGAACTCTGCTCTAAAGAGCTAGCGTCTCTTGTGCCATCTACTAAAATTCATTCCTGTGTTACCTGGTCGAAGATTTTATGGTGGTATTAAGCGTGGTGCTCCAAATATAGAGAGTTGTATAAATTTGGCAGAGTACTTATTAATCTATACGTCAACATATAGATTAATAAGTACTTTATATGTAAAATCATTTTTAACAAATATTTTGAATTTTCCTTTTTTTTTTTTTTTTTTTGTTAATTTAAAGCTATTAAAGTTGAGTCGATTTTTCCGCCCTTTCATGCTTTCCGTACACTATCCTTGCTTTTATGCTTGATTTAAAAAGCTTTAGAAAAAAAAATTAAATTTATTGAAATTCATAAAGAGTTTTTTTACTCAAGTTTTGATTTTGATTGATAAAGCAATATATCTATTTAACAAGTCATTAGGTCTTGATTGTATAAATAATAGAAACAAACGCGAGAGTGTTTTAATAATAAACTAATAATGTTCAATAAGGTGTCTTAGCTACTGTCTTTATTTCTTCCTGCTTTTCAATGTAACTGATTTTTTCAGAGATAACTGATTACTTATAATTTTTGTTTGAAAACGTTTACAAAATCGTAAATAAAACTTAAAACAGCTTTATACATTAATTATAGAGGTGCGGCAGAAATATCTCTACTGATTTGTTAACATGTCTGTAAAAAAAATTTTCAAGCCTTCAAAGTATACAGTAATAGCGTCTCAGGTTATTGTAACAACGTGAAATTATTTTGGAAATAACTTATTATTAAAGGATAAATAATAATTTTAAATATGACAGCGAAAGTAAAACTAATAAAATTAATAATGATAAAAGCTAATCAAAACTTCTATAGATAATCTAATCTAGACTATTTACAAAAAAACAGATGATTTTGAATAGAACTGTCTAGATTTTTATGTAAAAAACCAAGACAGTCTTTGGAATAAAATAAAATAGACATTTGTAAATTTTTTTGATAGTTTTTTTTTACGAACTTCTATAAATTTGTTGTATGATTTTTTGTTGTTGTTTTTGTTGTAGTTGGAGATTTAAAAATTCATGTCACTATTGTGTTTTTAAATTCAACAACTTTTTTGGTTTAACTAAATTTAAATTTCCACAGGAATTTAAGCAGCCGTGGCGCAGTGGTTAAAGCAAGAAGTACAGAATGGGGTAAAGAAGGAGGCGTGAACCTCCTAGGTAACCTCCTTCCAGTGTTGTTAACAAGACCAAAAGTAGCAAAGCCAAAGCCAAGGCCATAAGTTACAAGGCAAAGGCCAAGACCAAGGCCAAAAGTTACGAGGCCGTAACTTTTGACGTACGTCAAAAAGACGTACGCAAAGATTTTTAAGACTTAAGACTTCAATTTTTGTAATACGTTAAAGCCGATTCTTCACAAAACTGTAAGTAACAAGTACTGTAAAAATAAAACCACGTTATGTAAAAATAAACGCGAAAAGATTACTACATATTCCAACAACATCCGTGGAGTAGTGAAATAACATCCGCACATTTTTGTGTAAGATCAGCTTTTTTTCTTTACTGAATTAACATCTGTGCAACAATATCCGAAATTCCATCGATGTCTAATAACATCTTTAGAAAGATGTAACTACATCCGAGAGTTTTTCTCGATGTGTAACTACATCCGCCTAAAATAATGTATTATTAAAAATAAAATAAAAAATAAAATAAAATAAATTTCCGGACGTAGTTACATCCGAAAAAAATCAGATGTGTAATTACATCTTGTTAAAATAATGCATTTTTAAATTACTTTTTTCCCGGATGTAGTTACATTTATAAGTTACATATATAATTATTATATTATATAAGTACTGCTACAGACTGACTCGCAACGAAGTGCTGCTACATCGACTGATGGTTAGGTTTGGGCAGGCAGACTATCAAATAATTAAAAAAAAAATTATTATGCTTAAAATAATGCATTACAATAATTTTTTTTGGGGGGATGTACATCCGAAAGTACATCCGGATATACATCCGATTACATCTGAAAAAAATCAGATGCGTAACTACATCTGGTTAAAATTATGCAATTAAAAAAAAAAAAAATTCGGATGTAGTTACATCCGAAAAATCTACAGATGTAGTCGCACGGATGTTATACATCAATGAAATTTCAAACATATACATCAAAGTTTCAAGGCTAAGATCTAAATTTTTGACCTTAATTCTTCTGCACCGAAACGGGTTGTTAACGACCCTGTAGTAATAAATCAATTATTAAAGGTTTTTTTTCAA